TAACTGAAAGTTTGTGAAAAGCTGAAATAACTAAACTAACAAAAACAGCGTATTCAATTATGTTCAAAAATTAAAAAAAAAAACTCTTGTTAAACTTTCAATTATCTTTATAAATAATAAAATTCTTCAATATTCAATTATTTAAAAAAAATGTTTAAATATTCTTGTCAAAATTTCAATTATCGTTATAAATAATAAAATTCTTCTTCAAAATTCAATTATTTTTAAAAACTTGAATAAAATTCTTGTTAAAATTTCACAGGAATTCAATAATTTATAACATTTTTAATAAATTTCTTTGAAATAATTCAATTATTTTCGTAAATAATAAAATTTTCACATGAGTTCAATTATTTAATATACAAAATTTCATAAAATTTTTCGAAAAATATCCATTATTTAAAAAGATTTTTATAAAATTCGTCGCATGAATTTAATTATTTAAAAAAAATTTAACAAAGTTCTTTTCAAGAATTCAATTATTTTTAGAAATAATAAAATTCTTCACCGATATTCAATTATTTTAGAAAAATTTTAATAATATTTTTGGGAAAATTTCTTAATTATTTTCATGAATAATAAAACTCATCGCAGGATTTTTCAATTAATTTTTGATACAATATTTTAATCAAATTTTTTTAAAAAATGTAATTATTCTTAAAAATTTTATTCAAATTTGTCAAAAGAGTACAATTATTTAAAAATTTGCTGATAAAATTCTTTATGAGAATTCAATTTGAACAAACATTCAGTTATTCAATAAATGATTTATTTTTCAATTTAAATAATTGAATTCTTCTAGCATTTTCTAATAAAAATTGATTAAAAAATGAATTACCGAATAATCGATTTATTATTATTTATGAAAATAATTGAATTATTGCAACGAATTTTATTAAACTTGTAATAATAAAATCTGTTATACCCGACAATTTTCGACGGTTACCAAAACTACTTTCTCTGTGAGAAAGGAAATAGAAGAAAATTAATTTTTACCATACAGAAAACAAACGCAATTTTTAAAAAATTAAAAACAGGTTAAAATCAACTTTTATGGATATCGAAACAAAAAAATTAAATTAAATAAAAAAAAATAAATAAATTGAATAATAATAATAATAATAATAATAATAATTGAATTCTTGCGAAGGATTTTATTAGGATTTTTCTGAATAATAAAATTTTTTCTGAAAAATTTCATTGTAATTTAAATGATAAGAAAACATGAAGAATGCGATTTTTCCGAGTCTTTGACTCGGAGTGATTGCATTCTTTATGTTTTGTAATAATATTCTTATAAATTGTTGAATTTCAAAAAGGTTTGAATTTGAATGTATTAAAGAATTTTTATTTCTACGGAAAAATAATAATGATTAAATATTTATTTAAAAAAGAAATTATTGACGTTTTTGAATAATTTGACAATTAATGAAATTTGTAAATAAATGTAATAGAACATTTTTTTGAGTATCTAATAAATTTTATAGTGAATTAGAATATTTTTTAGGGTCAGGGAAAAAGTGAAAATTTTGTTTAGAAATCAGGGAAAAGTCAGGGAAAAATAAAATTAAATATTTGTGGCAACCCTGTATTTGCTCTATTTTCCTTTAATATTATATTTGAGTTGCATTATTATTTAGTATTTGAATTTAACCATAATTTTTTTATTCAGTCGTCATGAACGTCGCAACACCCAATCATGTGCAGAAGTTAGTAGAAGCTCTCCATGATGCATCGAAACTAATGGAAACAAACGTCAAATACGAAGATGTTGCTGTTTGCTTAGGAAGCACTGGATCTGGCAAAAGCACCTTAATAAATGCCCTCATTGGTAACCGTTTGAAAGCTGAAAGAAATGGAAGATGCAACACCATTGAGATATCTTTAGCTGATGATCAAGCTTCAGGACCTCAAATGGGAATCGCTTCTACAGTTTCCTCAAGTTGGATGTCAAATACTTTTCCTTCCATGAGTATCTGGGATACTCCTGGTTTCGATGATGCAAGAAGTGCTTCGCTAGATGCAATTAATGCTTCCTACATTTTCCACTTAATCCGAAAAGTTAAGCCGTTAAAAATTATCTTAGTTGTAGATATTATTGACATTCTAAATGACAACGTCAAACCGTTTTTGTCTGTTCTAAATGAACTTGAAAATCTGTTGGGGGATCAAATGAAATCCATGTTTTCTAGTATTTCCGTTGTTTTTTCAAAGGTACCCGATTTTATAAATGATATTCCAGTAAATATCGAATTTATCACTGACACTTTAAAAGAAAAGTTTCTAACAACCGAGGACTTGCTGTTAACTCCTTTGACGAAATACTTTTTACTGTATTTAACAGAAAATGTGGATCGCGTCGCTCTTTTTAAAAGAGTGGAACCAGGCGAAAATATCTTTGTAGCAACTGATAATATTCGTCAAGTTATTAATAATTCCACAAGCTTAAACAATGACGCTCTAAAGAAATTGAAAATTTGTATTCCCAATTCTTCCAAGATTTTTCTATTCAATGCGCGTTCATCAGTATTAATTTCAAAAGCAGAATTTATGGAATTACGTAACATTTTGCGTTCCGTATATGAGTCAAAAAATGATGTTTTAAAGGATATAATAAATAAGAAAGCGAACGAATGTGAAATACAAACTTATTTGAATGATTTGAAGTTAATCGGAAAACAAATTTCTATCATAATTCAAGAAAATAATTTAACACTGAAAATTGAATTTCTAAAATCCATTGATGTTTCAATTCGAAACAAAATTGAAGAACATAGATTGACGGAGAGAACACCATTAATTAAGTTCAGTGATAAACTTTTAGAAATGAATGAATTGGATGAACTTTCTTTAAAGCTGCATTCAATTCTATGTTATGTATCTTCGAAAGTAAAAAAAGCTATTTTATTTTATAATTTTATATTAGGGACGATACCAGATAAAGAATATTTTGTTTTGAAAAATGAAGAACATAAAGAGTATAAAAAAAGGTTGTATGATTGTAAAAAAGAATTACAAAAAGTAATAAGCAAAAATAATGAAAGAAAAGTTTTCTTTGAGAATTTGGGTACAAAAAAAATAGTTTTGTTTTCTGAATCAGAATTAGATGAATTACTAAAGAAACAAAATGAAAATTGGAAAAATGAAATCGAAGAATTTGAAAGAAGGGTTCATCAAATAAATGAGGAATTGCAAAGTGTAGTAGTAGAACCAAAATTTAATGATAAAGCATCTATGGCCCAACCTCGTTCAAAGGCATTACAATCAGAATCCAGTACAAGAGACGACCCTACAGTGTTTTGGACACTTTTTATTATAAAACTTATAGCAATAGTTTTCTTTTGTTGGTACAATTGGGACAAAATAGTACAATTTTTTTATTTGTTTAAAAAATTAGTAAATAAACCAGTAAGAGTCCGACAGTAATCGGCCACTTGAGAAAGCTTTAAAAAATCGTCTAAAAAATTTTTTTTTCTATTACAAAAGTTTAGATTTGTTTATGATAACCTTAGAAATGATTAGCAAAAACAAAATATTTTTTTCTCATACGGTTTTATAGCTATTCAAAATTGAAAAGTGGCCGACTACTGTCTGGTTTACCCTATATAGTGTATATTATACACTAAATAGTAAATACCAACAATAAGTCAAGAGAAACAACTTATCAAGTGAAAAATTAAACTATGAAAATATAACCTTTGAATGTAAAAGAAGTATTTTACATTATGATTTTATAGTTGAGACGTCGGAACTGGAAGTTTTGAGTAATGAAGTAAATAAATTTAAAACAAAGGATGGTAAAATACATGAGAAGCTGCAAAATCTATAGTAGTAGAGAATAATTGTATATCATTATTTTTTCAAAATAGTTACAAATAATTTGATTTTCATTTAGAGACATATTTTTGTCAACGAATATATTAATCTAAAAAATGAATTATTTTAATCTTCTTTGTTGCATAAATTTGTACTTTAACGATATTTAATATTTTATTGTTTATTGTGGTTCTACTTTCATTTATTCTCTACTCGTTACATTTATTCTACATTCATATATAATATTCGAATGAAAAAACTTGGAGGTTCTCTAAAAAGTTGTATTTTAAAACTATTTGTGTGTAAACTTTATCAGTAAATAATATAGTTTCTATATTTTTTGTCTACCTAAACTATTTGATTTAACCTACCTATAACTGAAATAAAGAAATTTTTCTGATCGAGTAATAGAGGTATATCAATACTGTATTATTTAAAGTTTAGAGTAGAGTGACATGGAAAAGCTACTTTTTTACTTTTTACGCTATAAAATCGGAATTAAAAATTTCTTTCCAAGCTTCTAACTAGTTTGGAATTTTTTTCTATTCCATAAAAAGAACTAAGTTATGAGAGATTGAGCAAGGCATTCTCATTAAATTTTAATTAGTTATTTTCTGCTAATTCTTAAATTGAAAAGTTATGCAGGCCTTTTTTGCAACATTTTGAGTATTTAAAAAGCCACATTGCGATTTAAGAAAATTTAAATAAATTTAAAATTTTAAAGAATTTTTAGCATGCATTTCCTAGTTGTCGAAAATTTCATAAACTTGTCATTTACTTCTAAACATGTTATAAATTTATTTAAACAAAAAAAATTCTCACCTTCATAATCATTGATTTTTTTTCAAATTCTTTCAGGTCATATTTTTTCTTCCAATCACACAAAACTATTAAACCTTATTAGCATCTGAAAAATAAAGAATTTTCCTGCGCAGGATCATGTATAGAAAGCTTTACATGGTACATTGATAGTTAATGTTCCTGCATTGGAACCTGTATATCGTTTTCAGGTTTAAAAGAGGTTTAAAAAGAGAGGGTCAAAAGAGGGTTTAAATTTTGACTCGGGAAGTTGCAAGCTTGCGTTCTGTTTAGGGTGGGTTTGCGACCACCTTAAAACCCCCACCCAACGTGAAGTAGTTAATTCCTGTACTGCACGGCACAGTTTTAGTAAGTGGACAAGACTGAGTCGACGCGGTTCATTGCGAAAAACAGGCAACTTTATGGCGACTCTATGTGAAACGTGTTGCAGTGCATTATTAATTGAATAAAAATATATTTACATTTAACGCCAATTGTGAGCAGAGAAAGGCTTCGGTAAGTTGACCTCATCTTGTGTTTTCTTTTCAACTTTTCTTTAGCATAAAATTTTATATTGAACAAAGTGCCTTCTTATTCAGGGTTCAGTTCCAAATTCCGTTATCGAAGGACCCCGCTGGAAATACATTATACACGAAAAAATTATTCACCTGGAATAGCTATGCTTTCACTAGTTTTACTGAGGCATTTGATATGAAAAGACGGGGTCATATCTCCGTTTTTTCTCAAAATTTGGAAAAATGTTGTCCCTAAGGTGAACAATAAGTCTACCAAATTTGAATTAAAAATTTTGCATATTTTCGCAAATATTTGCATTTAAAGATTTTAACAATTTTTTTTCTTTTGCTCACAACTTTTTTTCTAATAAAAATAGAAAAAAATTATACAAATGTTTTTTACACAAAATAACGTAATGTTTTAGGAAAAAAACATTGAAAGAAATAAAAGTTAATTTTTAATTAATTTATTTAAAAAATAAAATTTATTTTTAAATTTTAACCCTGTTCTCCCTATTTTTCAAGCTTGAAAAAAATTTTAAATATAGCTTATTTCATAATAAAGAAGTAGTTAAATTTTTAAAATGTCAATATTTTTTGTTTTCGAGAAAAAAATTATTTAGTTTTGTAATCCGACCGCGCTCCACAGTGAATCGAAACTGCAATTTTTAAAAAAGACGTTTATTTTCTTATTCCGTTACTGCACATACCCTAAATCAGTTCCAATTCATCCAAAATGACCACCAGACAATTAATAAGACATAAAATAATTTATTTAAATTGTTATAAACAATATTAATTAACAAATAGATAACTTTGATTCCTCTCCACTAAAAACTTTTTTTCACATTTTCTATTTATTTTAAGTTCATTTAAAGAATATACATCCTTTTTGTTTAAGAAATAACATATTTAAATTGTCATAAACAATATTAATTAACAATTAGTTAACTTTGATGAAAAAAATTTTATTGAACAGGAATCAAAATTTCTATTTTTTATTTACCTAATATTTTTTATAACAACTTAAATATTTTACATTTAAAACCAAAAGGACATATATTCTCAAAATGAACTCAAATTAAAAAGAAAATGTGTAAAAATAACATATTTAGTAGAGAGAAATCAAAGTTAACTAATTATTAATTTATAACAATTTAAACACGTTATTTTTTAAACAAGGAGGACGTATATTCTTTAAATGAACCTAAATAAATAAGTAAACGTGAAAACAAATTTTTTTATTGAACAGGAATCAAAGTTAACTATTTTTTAATTATTATTGTTTATAACAATTTAAATAAGTTACTTTTTAAACAAAAAGGACATATATTATTCAAACGAACTTAAATTATGAAGAAAATGTGTTAAAAAACACATTTTAGTGGAGAGGAATCAAAGTTATCTATTTGTTAATTAATATTGTTTATAACAATTTAAATAAATTATTTTATGTTTTATTAATTTTCTGGTGGTCATTTCGTTTTAATTGAAACTGATTTAGGGTATGTGCAGTAACGGGTTAAAAATATAAACGTCGTTTTTTTAAAAATTATATTAATTTATTAACTTTAATTAAAAAAATTATAAACAATTAAAAACTTAAAAATCGATCTCGAGGAATGTCTTAAGAATTTATTCCCCTTTAATTTAAAACAAAGAACACTCAAATCGATTAAAAATTGTAGGCTGTAGACTGTTTTGAACAGTAAATTGCAGTTTTGAACCACTGTGGGGCGGTCGGATTACAAAACTAAATAATTTTTTTCTCGAAAACAAAAAATATTGCCATTTTAAAAATTTAACTACTTCTTTATTATGAAATAAGCTATATTTACAATTTTTTTCAAGCTTGAAAAATAGGGAGAACAGGGTTAAAATTTAAAAATAAATTTTATTTTTTAAATAAATTAATTAAAAATTAACTTTTTTTTCTTTCAATGTTTTTTTCCTAAAACATTACGTTATTTTGTGTAAAAAACATTTATATAATTTTTTTCTATTTTTATTAGAAAAAAAGTTGTGAGCAAAAGAAAAAAAAATTGTTAAAATCTTTAAATGCAAATATTTGCGAAAATATGCAAAATTTTTAATTCAAATTTGGTAGACTTATTGTTCACCTTAGGGACAACATTTTTCCAAATTTTGAGAAAAAACGTTATTCTAGAGAAAGTTAACACTGTTCCAGATAAAATTTTTATTCCGAGTAGATTTGTGTCCCAGTAGTCAAAACAAGTTTTTCTTTAGGTTTTTTGAATTTGATAGTTTTCTTTAGACTGAATACAAACATAAAATTGATAAGAAACTCGCCTGGAACCTAAAACTAATGTATTTCCTTCGGGGTCCTTTATTTCCCCAATTTTACATTTTATAATAAAAATTATCAGAATTAAGAAAAAAAATTTCTGCATTATTTTCGAACTTGAATGGGGGATGAACATATCCTTATCGGGAAAGACTTGAGTGGCTCAATATGAAAAATAGAAGTTTATTATTTATTGGAAGTTTAATGTATATCTAATTCTCATAATACTAAAAGACCAAAATACATTCTTAATAAACTCACTTTTAGATCTGAGATCACTTTCAAAGAACTTATATGGCCTAATTTACTAAGAATTCATAAATGTAAGACTGAGCAATACAGAAACTCTCTTATTTTAACAGGAACATCTTTGTGAAAGTCGCTTATCTTAGCTCACTATATACAAAATGCAGAGACACTTGTCTCATTTAACATTTATTATGTCTGTTCAGTATCAATATTGTGCGATACAATATTGTATCATTTGATCTATTTTCTTTTATTTATATACTTTAGTTGCATTATTATTTAATATTTTAATTTAACAATAATTTTTTTATTTAGTCGACATGGACGTCGAAACATCAGTCGTGAATAACTCGCCGGAGGAAAATCCACTCGATGATGTGCAGAAATTAGTAAAAGCTCTCTATGATTCTTCGAATTATATGACAACGAACGCTAAATATGAAGATGCTGCTGTTTTCGTAGGAAGTACTCGATCTGGCAAAAGCACCCTAATAAATGCCCTCATTGGTAACCGTTTGAAAGTTGAAAGAAATGAAAGAGGCAGAGCCATTGAGATATCTTTAGCTGATGGTCAATCTTCAGGACCTCAAATGGGAATCGCTTCTACAGTTTCCTCAAGTTGGATGTCAAATACTTTTCCTTCCATGAGTATCTGGGATACTCCTGGCTTCGATGATGCAAGAGGTGCTTCGCGGGATGTAGTTAATGCTTCCTACATTTTCTTTTTAATTCGAAGAGTTAAGTCATTAAAGGTTATCGTAGTTGTAGACATTAATGACATTCTAAATGATAATGTCAAACCATTTTTGTCTCTTTTAAATGCACTTGAACATCTTTTGGGGGATCAAATGAAATCCATGTTTTCAAGTATCTCCGTTGTTTTTTCAAAGGTACCCGATTTTATAAATGATATTCCAGTAAATATCGAATTTATTACCGAGACATTAAAAGAACAGTTTTTGACGACCGAGGACTTGCTTTTAACTCCTTTGACGAAAGACTTTTTACTGTATTTAACAGAAAATGTGGATCGCGTCGCTCTTTTTAAAAGAGTGGAACCAGGCGAAAATATCTTTGTAGCAACTGATAATATTCGTCAAGTTATTAATAATTCCACAAGCTTAACTAATGACGCTCTAAAGAAATTGAAAATTTGTATTCCCGATTCTTCCAAGATTTTTCTATTCAATGCGCGTTCAGTTTTAACTTCAAAAGCAGAATTTATTGCATTAGGAAACATTTTGTGTACCGAATGTCAGTCAAAAAATGAAGGTTTAAAAGATTTAATAAATAAGATGTCGAACGAATGTGAAATACAAACTTATCTTAATGATTTAAAGTTAATCGGAAAACAAATTTCTATCATAATTCAAGAAAAGAATTTAACACTGAAAATTGAATTTCTAAAATCTATTGATGTTTCAATTCGAAACAAAATTGAGGAACATAGATTGCTGGAGAGAGCTCCTTTAATTGAGTTCAGTGACAAAATCTTAGAAATGAATGAATACGATGAACTTTCTTTAAATTTGCATTCAATTCTATGTAACGTATCTTCGAAAGTAAAAAAAAATATTTTATTTTATGATTTTATATTATGGACGACAATAGATAAAGAATATGGTGACTTGATAAATAAAGAACATGAAGAGTATAAAAATAGATTTTACGATTGTGAAAAAGAATTACAAAAAGTAATAAGCAAAAATAATGAAAGAAAAGTTTTCTTTGAGAATTTAGAAAGAAACAAAATAGTTTTGTTTTCTGAATCAGATCTCGATAATTTACTAAAGGAACAAAATGAAAATTGGAAAAATGAAATCGATGAAGATGGAAGATGGGTTCATCTAATAAATGAGGATTTGCAAAATGTAGTAGTAAAACCTGATTTACGTGATGAATTTATGCCCGAAACTCATTTGTTGATAATGATTTTTTTATATACATATTGGGCTATAAAACTAATACTAGCTTTTTCTGAAAACACGAAAAAAAAATTCAGTGATAAAACGTTAGAAATATGAATGAATCGGATGAACTTTCTTTAAATCTGCATTTAATTCTATGTAATGTATCTTCGAAAGTAAAAGAAAATGTTACTTTATGATTTTATATTAGGGACGATAATAGACATAGAATATGATGACTTGATGAATGAAGACCATGAATAGTATAAAAATAGATTCTATGATTGTGAAAAAGAATTAAAAAAAGTAATAAGCAAAAATAGTAGATGAAAAGTTTTCTTTAAGAATTTAAAAAAAAAAATTTTCCACATATTTCCGACCGCATCTGACATTTAACAGAAAATGTGAATCTCATCGCTTTTTTTAAGAGAATAGAATCATGTGTTTATTTTCCTGTATTAACAGCATGTGATTGTTACAGAATTCAATGTTAATTTTTTCGACCACTTTTGTCTTAAAATATTAAATAAATTAAGCTAGTTTTTTGTGAATAACTCTAAAATATCATAAAGAAGGGCAGTGATGTGAAAAAGTTTTAATATTTTTAAAATTATTTATTAAAAAATAACTTTAAAATGTATGTCACATGCTGTTAAGTCCTAGTAAAATTTGACAATATTCGAATGAAAAATTTCGAGGTTTTTTAAAAAGTTGTATTTTAAAACTATTTATGTGTAAACTTTATCAGTAAATATAATATAGTTTCTATATTTTTTGTCTACCTAAACTATTTGATTTAACTTATCTACTATAACTGTATTTTCATTTCTAATATAAAATAAACTAATAAAAATTTAAAAATCAAAATTATTATAAATGTAAAACCAAAGAAAATTTCTCAACACAATTATTAATAATTTTTCTTTTTCGTGGAGAAAGCTTTTTAGTACATCAAAATGTAAAAACCAAAGTTGGTTTAATTCTGACATGACAAAGAAATTATTTTTACAATGTTTGATTTTTTAATACCTATGCAATTATTAACGCATAGTCAACCCAGAAAAATGAAATAAAAGATTGTTTTTTTAAACAAAACAAGAAATTCATAGATTTCTCTTTCAACAATTCAAAAATAATGTCAGAATTCAAACATTACCCCTTGTTTTTGTTAAAATTAAAAAAACTACTTTTAACAGGAAAAAAATGAGAAAAAAGATTAATTTTTTAAAGGAAGCATACGTCTCTATATTTTTGTTTTAAAAACTCAAAATCAGCGTCAGAATTAAAACGTCACCATTTGTTTTTTTAGAATTTGAAAAAATTGCCCTTAAAGTATGATGAAATTCATATTTTTCAAACGTTGTTAAAATAAGAATACAGAAAGGTATACTTCCGTTAAAAAATTTAAGGGTAAAGTTAGTCTATTTTTTATTTACTGAATACGACAGTAATCGGTTACCTAAAGCAATCTTCACTGTTTAAAAAATGCAATTCATATTTATTTTTCAAATTCATTCAGGTGATATTGTTTCCTTACGATCACACAAAACAATTAAAACAATTAAAAATTGGAGTTGTATTATAATTGCCCTATAGAAGATGCAAATAACAGTTTTTAAATGATTTCAATAAATCTATTAGGACAGATAGAAAATTAAAAAATTTAATTTTTATAAAAATTTGAAATCCTCTTTTCAAACCTCTAAACATCGGAATATGGATTTTCCGCATCGTTTTTAGGTTCAAAAGAGGTTTGAAAAGAGAGGGTCAAAAGAGGGTTTAAATTTTGACTCGGGAAGTTGCAAGCTTGTGTTCTGTTTGGGGTGGGTTTGCGACCACCTTAAAACCCCCACCCAACGTGAAGTAGTTAATTCCTGTACTGTACGGCACAGTTATAGTAAGTGGACAAGACTGAGTCGAGGCGGTTAAAACTCATCGCCGGCCGACTGGTTCATCGCAGAGACACAGGAGACAAAAGATTTAACACCCACAACCGGCAATGTGAAACGTGTTGCAGTGAATTATTAATTAAATTAAAATTACATTGAGTGTCAATTGTGAGCAGAGAAAGGCATCTGTAAGTTGACCTCCTATGTTTTCGCTTCAATTTTTCTTTACCATCAAATTCTACTATGATAAAAGTGCCCTCTTTATCAGGGTTCAATTCCAAGTTTTCCTATCAAAAGGACCCCGCTGGAAATACATTATAGTTTTGTGCTCCAGTTGATTTTCCATTAAGTTTTTGAATTTAACACGTTTCATTAAACTGAATACAAATTTAATATTAATAAGAAAATCGACTGGAACCCAAAACTAATGTATTTCCTTCGGGGTCACTTATTTCCCGAATTTTCTCATTAATTAAATATGTTTCAAATTAATAAAAACCGGTACAATCAACTAAATATAAACGATAGGAAAGTCTGGATATTATAAAAGTGAGGAAAAGTTATATATTTATTTTTTTTACTAATGTAAGAAATATTTCTTTATGATTTTGAAACATAAACTTGCTGTTGAAGGCACTTTTTGAATACGAAGTGTGAGAGAACGTTAATAGCTACTGTGAAATCTGAAACCATTTGTTTGCATTGCAATTATTTTTAATAAAATTTTAATCAAATTCCTCGATAAATGTAATTATTATTAAAAATTTTATTAGAATTCGTCAAACGGATTAACTTATTTAAAAATTTGTTGATAAAATTCTTAACGAAAATTCCATTTTAAGAAACATTTAAAAATACAATAATTTTTTTTTTGCATTTAAATAATTAAATTCTAGTAGATTTTTCTAATAAAAATTAATTTAAAAATGGATTTCAGTTCAAAACAATTATATTTTAAAATTCTCAAAAAACTGTTTAAAAAATTAATAAAAATAATGGATTTATAGAAAAAATTTAATTAACATTAAAAGAAATTGAATTTTGGAGAAGTTACAAATTATTGAAGAAATTCTATTGTTTTCAAGAGTAATAAAATCCTTCGCAGAAATTTAATTATGTTAAATAAATAGTAAAATTCTTTTTAGGAATTCAATTATTTTTATAAATAATAATAACTCAATGCAGAATTTCGACTATTTTTAATACAATTCTTATCGAATTTCTTGGAAAATTAAAATTATTCGAAGACATCAATAACATCAATTAGAACCTTTTGAAAAACAACTTATAAGAATATTATTATAATTTTCATGATTTTAAATCAATTATTATTTTCTACAATTTAAAAATAAAATTCTTCTTTCAATTAATTATTTTTATTAACATTAGAAAAAGTTCTTCTTTCAGAATTTTTAAATCCATTTGTTTAAAAATTCAATTTTACGTGAAATTTTAAATTAAAAAGTATGAATAATTCAAATTTTCAAAGATTTTAATTTTAAACCTTTACAAAATTCAATTATTTCTAAGAATTTCAATTATATGTAAATTCTCCAAAATTCAATTATTATCTAAAATTTTAACTGAAATATATTAATTAAATATTGAGGATTGCTACAGGTCAGGGAATTCAGGGAAAAGTCAGGAATTTTTATTAAAATACCCATGAAAAAATTGAATTTTGGAGAAGTTATAAATGATTACAGAAATTCAATTATTTTCAAAACTAATAAAATTCTCGTCAAAAGTTAAATTATTTTCAAATTTTTTTTTTAAATTCTTGGAAAAAATTCAATTATTTTCAATTATTTTCCTCAGTTCAATGATTTTCAATATCTACTATTTTAATAAAATTGTTCAATACAATTCAATTACACTGCAAAAAGAAGTATCTTATTTAAGATGTTTTGGTAGTCATTTCTAAGATGTTTTTGTAGTCACTTTTAAGTTATTTAAAATATCTTAATTTAAGATGTTTAAAGTATCTTCGTACACATTTTCATCATATTTTTTGGGAAAAAAGTTTTGAGGTTAACTATGGGCTTATATGTAAGACATTTTATGCATCTTAGTTTTTAGTAACTTAAATTTTTTTCGCATCTTACAATTCACAAGTATCTTATTGCTAAACATCTTATTGAGACAGAAACATCTTCATTTAAGATACTTTAAAAAACTTACAGAAGTATTTTACTTTTTTAAGATAGAAGAAATATCTAAGACGTATAAAACATCTTAAAAATCAGTAAGATACTTTAGAAAACATCTTATTTTAAGATGTAAGATACCATTTTTCCATCTTACATCTTATTTTAAGATATCAAATAAGACACTTATTTTTGCAGTGTACTTAAAAAATATTTTAATAAAATTCTACACAAACATTTAATTATTTTCATAATAAATAATAAAAATTTCACAGGAATTCAATTATTTACAAATTTTTCATAAATTTCTTCCCATTAATTCAATTATTTTGATAAATAATCAAACTCATTGCAGAATTTTAATTATTTTGAATACAATGTAAATAAAATTTGTCGAAAAATGTAATTATTCTTAAAAATTTTATTCAAATTCGTCAAAAGAATCCAATTATATAAAAATTTCTTGATAAAATTCTTTATGATAAGTCACTTATAAGAAACATTCAAATATTCAATAAATTATTTATTTTTGTATTTAAATAATTAAATTCTAGTAGAATTTTCTAATAAAGATTGATTTAAAAATAAATTTCAGTTAAAATTTAAAATAATAATTGAATATTAAAAGCAATAAAATGTAAAATTTAAATATACAATAATATAAAGTTGAAAAATATTATTTCACGAATTTCAATCTTGTTTAATTAAAAATCACTAAAATTTAGTATAGAATTCATGTAGAAATTGTATAGAATCGGTCTAGTGAAATTCTATAGAATATTCACTAAAATTCCTATAGAGTGATTCTATAGAATGATTCTGGTGAAATTCTATAGAACTTTTTCAGCTGGGGTGTCAATATTAACGCAATATTGTTTGTGCTATTTGCTCTATTTTCCTTTAATATTATATTTGAGTTGCATTATTATTTAGTATTTGAATTTAACCATAATTTTTTTTATTTAGTCGTCATGAACGTCGCAACACCCGATGATGTGCAGAAGTTAGTAGAAGCTTTCCATGATGCTTCGAAACATATGACAACAAACGTCAAGAACGAAGATGCTGCTGTTTGCTTAGGAAGCACTCGACCTGGCAAAAGCACCTTAATAAATACCCTCATTGGTAGATAAAGAGTATGATGACTTGCTAAATGAAGAACATGAAGAGCATAAAAATAGATTTTATGAATGCGAAAAGGAATTACAAAAAGTAATAAGCAAAAATAATGAAAGAAAAATTTTCTTTGAGAATTCAGATATACAAACAAAATAGTTTTGTTTTCTGAATCAGATCTAGATAATTTACTAAAAAAAAAATGAAAATTGGAAAAATAAAATCGAAAAATTTGAAAGAAGGGTTGATAAAATAAATGAGGAATTGCAAAATGTAGTAGTAGAACCAAAATTTAATGATAAAGCATCTATGGCCCAACCTGGTTCGGTGGAACCGCATTCAGAGTCTTGTTCGATATGTTGTAAAATAATGATTAGTATATTTATAATTATAATTGCAAAAGTACTAGCATTTATTATTTATCTGAACAAGAAAAAAGAAGTTTTGTATATTTAAAAAATAATGTGTGTTTAATATTTAATATATGATGTGTTTAGCATAAAAGAATTTATCTTTCTCGAGAGTTATAACAAAACAGTTTGCTTACGAGTTACGGACAGCTAACAACTTCTGCAATATTCAAATGTAGATTTATACACGATAAGTATATAATCCAATTGTACAACAAATTTGCAATATTGGTAAAATGTAATTTTCATTATTTTTATTCTTCGAATAAATTTTATGATTAATATCATGTACAAAATTAAATTAATTTAAACACAATTTAAATTTTACCTTTAAAATTATTAATATATAGTTGCACTGCAAAAACAAGCAACTTAAAATACATTGTATTAACTTTTAAAACGTTTAAAACAACTTATTTTTTCATCCTTCATCTTAGAAACAAATGCATTTTAAAATACTTTTGGTAACTTTTTGTAAACAACTTAAAAACTAATTAAAAATACATCTTTTTAAAAAAAATTATTTGCACGATTATTACTATTACAATATAATGAAAATTAATTATAGAAACATAATTAATATTTATTTATTATTTTAATTAAATTTACCTATTTAAATAACATATTTTTATTTACTGAAATTGTTTTATTATTTATTGCGATTCTTATAAGATTATTAAACAATATTAAAATTTTTTTTAAATACGTTAAAAGTTTAAATAATTAAATGAATATAAATAATGCTGATTATTTCTGTTTAATTGTGAACTCGAACGAGTCTTTTAATAAAATGTTTCTTTCTCGTTCGGAATAATTTACACAATTAAGAAAAAGGTTTTTTAATTAAGTAACTCACAAATTCACAAAGCAACGTATAAAAATTTATTAAGTTCAAAATTTAGTTTTTCTTGTTATTTAAATCACTACAAACTCTTTTAATAATTACGTCTTCACTGAACATATAAATAATAGTTTTTGATAAAAGTTCTGTACACAAATTAAATATAAAAGTTCTATTACTATTTCGAAGGTTCGAGCACGACTCTCTCTTTTCATTAATCACCACTCATTAACATGAATACAAACACACACACACATTTACTCATACAATTAACTTTCATTTAATTGACGTCTAATCATTTTTCAAATTCGTCACTTTTATTCTCGCTTGTCGACAAATTGAAAAGTAAATGCGTGCGAAAAAAAGTAGCGGCCAACTTAGGACTAGGTTGGAGGGCAAATTAGGACCACTCTCCCCTAATTCGAATAAAATTTTTAATAGGAATTAATTTTATTTTCAAAAATAAGAAAATTCTTTACAGGATTTTAATTATTTTCAAAATTTTGTAATAAAATTGTTGTTAAGAAGTCAATTATTTTCAAATTTTTCAATAAAAATGTTGTTAAGAATTCAATTATTTTCAATATCTGTAATAACATTTTTTGCATGTATTCTATTTATTATCATAAATAATATTATTCTTTGCAAGAATTCAATTATTTTCATAAATAGTGAAATTTTTCGCTGCAATTTAATTACTTTTAAAACAATTTCGATTAAATTCTTCTATAGAACCCATCAACAAATTTTAATACATGGTAGAAATTGAATCATTTATATTAATAAAATTGTAGAAACTTTTTTGAAAGAAATTATTAAAAATAATTTTTCGAAAGAATATATTATAATTAAATTCTCTAAAGGATTTTCAATTATTTTCATAAATTTCAATAAAATTCATTACAGGAATTCAATTATTTATCAATACAATTTTAATTAAACTCGAAAGAATTCAATATTAATCTTCAAAAATTTTAATAAATTTTTTTGAAGAACTTTACATAAATGTTTTCTAATATTTTATATTATATATCCATGTGGAAGCATTTCCGGAAATAATTTTTTCCAGAAATTCTTTGAAAATTATTCAGAAATACTCCTGAAATATTGTAAATAGTGTTACTTAGAATAAATCATAGTTCTTAGAATGTATTTAAATTTTACCAGTAAATTATTTTTTGGAATTCAATTATTTTTAAAAACTTGAATAAAATTCTTGTTAAAATTTCACAGGAATTCAATAATTTATAACATTTTTAATAAATTTCTTTGAAATAATTCAATTATTTTCGTAAATAATAAAATTTTCACATGAGTTCAATTATTTAATATACAAAATTTCATAAAATTTTTCGAAAAATATCCATTATTTAAAAAGATTTTTATAAAATTCGTCGCATGAATTTAATTATTTAAAAAAAATTTAACAAAGTTCTTTTCAAGAATTCAATTATTTTTAGAAATAATAAAATTCTTCACCGATATTCAATTATTTTAGAAAAATTTTAATAATATTTTTGGGAAAATTTCTTAATTATTTTCATGAATAATAAAACTCATCGCAGGATTTTTCAATTAATTTTTGATACAATATTTTAATCAAATTTTTTTAAAAAATGTAATTATTCTTAAAAATTTTATTCAAATTTGTCAAAAGAGTACAATTATTTAAAAATTTGCTGATAAAATTCTTTATGAGAATTCAATTTGAACAAACATTCAGTTATTCAATAAATGATTTATTTTTCAATTTAAATAATTGAATTCTTCTAGCATTTTCTAATAAAAATTGATTAAAAAATGAATTACCGAATAATCGATTTATTATTATTTATGAAAATAATTGAATTATTGCAACGAATTTTATTAAACTTGTAATAATAAAATCTGTTATACCCGACAATTTTCGACGGTTACCAAAACTACTTTCTCTGTGAGAAAGGAAATAGAAGAAAATTAATTTTTACCATACAGAAAACAAACGCAATTTTTAAAAAATTAAAAACAGGTTAAAATCAACTTTTATGGATATCGAAACAAAAAAATTAAATTAAATAAAAAAAAAATAAATAAATTGAATAATAATAATAATAATAATAATAATTGAATTCTTGCGAAGGATTTTATTAGGATTTTTCTGAATAATAAAATTTTTTCTGAAAAATTTCATTGTAATTTAAATGATAAGAAAACATGAAGAATGCGATTTTTCCGAGTCTTTGACTCGGAGTGATTGCATTCTTTATGTTTTGTAATAATATTCTTATAAATTGTTGAATTTCAAAAAGGTTTGAATTTGAATGTATTAAAGAATTTTTATTTCTACGGAAAAATAATAATGATTAAATATTTATTTAAAAAAGAAATTATTGACGTTTTTGAATAATTTGACAATTAATGAAATTTGTAAATAAATGTAATAGAACATTTTTTTGAGTATCTAATAAATTTTATAGTGAATTAGAATATTTTTTAGGGTCAGGGAAAAAGTGAAAATTTTGTTTAGAAATCAGGGAAAAGTCAGGGAAAAATAAAATTAAATATTTGTGGCAACCCTGTATTTGCTCTATTTTCCTTTAATATTATATTTGAGTTGCATTATTATTTAGTATTTGAATTTAACCATAATTTTTTTATTCAGTCGTCATGAACGTCGCAACACCCAATCATGTGCAGAAGTTAGTAGAAGCTCTCCATGATGCATCGAAACTAATGGAAACAAACGTCAAATACGAAGATGTTGCTGTTTGCTTAGGAAGCACTGGATCTGGCAAAAGCACCTTAATAAATGCCCTCATTGGTAACCGTTTGAAAGCTGAAAGAATTGGAAGAGGCAACTTCCTAAAGATATCGTTGGCTGATGGTCAATCTTCAGGACCTCAAATGGGAATCGCTTCTACAGTTTCCTCAAGTTGGATGTCAAATACTTTTCCTTCCATGAGTATCTGGGATACTCCTGGCTTCGATGATGCAAGAGGTGCTTCGCGGGATGTAGTTAATGCTTCCTACATTTTCTTTTTAATTCGAAGAGTTAAGTCATTAAAGGTTATCGTAGTTGTAGACATTAATGACATTCTAAATGATAATGTCAAACCATTTTTGTCTCTTTTAAATGCACTTGAACATCTTTTGGGGGATCAAATGAAATCCATGTTTTCAAGTATCTCCGTTGTTTTTTCAAAGGTACCCGATTTTATAAATGATATTCCAGTAAATATCGAATTTATTACCGAGACATTAAAAGAACAGTTTTTGACGACCGAGGACTTGCTTTTAACTCCTTTGACGAAAGACTTTTTACTGTATTTAACAGAAAATGTGGATCGCGTCGCTCTTTTTAAAAGAGTGGAACCAGGCGAAAATATCTTTGTAGCAACTGATAATATTCGTCAAGTTATTAATAATTCCACAAGCTTAACTAATGACGCTCTAAAGAAATTGAAAATTTGTATTCCCGATTCTTCCAAGATTTTTCTATTCAATGCGCGTTCAGTTTTAACTTCAAAAGCAGAATTTATTGAATTAGGTAACATTTTGCGTTCCGTATATGAGTCAAAAAATGATGTTTTAAAGGATATAATAAATAAGAAAGCGAACGAATGTGAAATACAAACTTATCTTAATGATTTAAAGATATTCGGAAAACAAATTTCTATCATAATTCAAGAAAACAATTTAACACTGAAAATTGAACTTCTAAAATCCATTGATGTTTCAATTCGAAACAAAATTGAAGAACATAGATTGACGGAGAGAGCACCATTAATTAAGTTCAGTGACAAAATTTTAGAAATGAATGAATTGGATGAATTTTCTTTAAATCTGCATTCAATTCTGTTTTATGTATCTTCGAAAGTAGAAAAAGCTATTTTATTTTATAATTTTATATTAGGGACGATACCAGATAAAGAATATTATGTTTTGATAAATGAAGAACGTAAAGAGTATAAAAAAAGGTTGTATGATTGTGAAAAGAAATTACAAAAAGTAATAAGCAAAAATAATGAAAGAAAAGTTTTCTTTGAGAATTTAGGTACTAAAAAAATAGTTTTGTTTTCTGAATCAGAATTAGATGAATTACTAAAGAAACAAAATGAAAATTGGAAAAATGAAATCGAAGAATTTGAAAGAAGGGTTCATCAAATAAATGAGGAATTGCAAAATGTAGTAGTAGAACCAAAATTTAATGATAAAGCATCTATGGCCCAACCTCGTTCGAAGGCATTACAATCAGAATTCAGTACAAGAGACGACCCTACATTGTTTTGGACACTTTTTATTGTAAAACTTATAGCAATAGTTTTCTTTTGTTGGTACAATTGGGACAAAATAGTACAAACTTTTTATTTGTTTAAAAAATTAGTAAATAAATTAGTAAGAGTCCGACAGTAATCGGCCACTTAAAAAAGCTTTAAAAAACCGTCTAAAAATTTTTTTTTCTATTACAAAAGTTTAGATTTGTTTATGATCACCTTAGAAATGATTAGCAACAAACAAAATATTTTTATCTCATACGGTTTTATAGCTATTCAAAATTGAAAAGTGGCCGACTACTGTCTGGTTTACCCTATATAGTGTATATTATACACTAAATAGTAAATACCAACAAATCAAGAGAAACAACTTATCAAGAGAAAAATTAAACTATGGAAATATAAACTTTGAATGTAAAAGATGTATTTTACATTGTGATTTTATAGTTGGGACGTCGGAACTGGAAGTTTTGAGTAATGAAGTAAATAAATTTAAAACAAAGGATGGTAAAATACATGAGAAGCTGCAAAATCTATAGTAGTAGAGAATAATTGTATCATTATTTTTTCAAAATAGTTACAAATAATTTGATTTTCATTTAGTGACATATTTTTGTCAAAGAATATATTAATCTAAAAAATGAATTATTTTAATCTTCTTTGTTGCATAAATTTGTGCTCTAACACTATTTAATATTTTATTGTGGTTCTACTTTCATTTATTCTCTACTCGTTACATTTATTCTACAATCGTATATAAATATTCGAATGAAAAAACTTGGAGGTTCTCTAAAAAGTTGTATTTTAAAACTATTTGTGTGTAAACTTTATCAGTAAATAATATAGTTTCTATATTTTTTGTCTACCTAAACAGCCTAAACTATTTGATTTAACCTACCTATAACTGAAATAAAGAAATTTTTCTGATCGAGTAATAGAGGTGTATCAATACTGTATTATTTAAAGTTTAGAGTATAGAGTGACATGGAAAAGCTACTTTTTTACTTTTTACGCTATAAAATCGGAATTAAAAATTTCTTTCCAAGCTTCTAACTAGTTTGGAATTTTTTTCTATTCCATAAAAAGAACTAAGTTATGAGAGATTGAGCAAGGCATTCTCATCAAATTTTAATTAGTTATTTTCTACAATACAATTATAGTTTTATATTATTATTTATTATAAACAATTAAGTTCAGGGTTGCCACAAATATTTAATTTTATTTTTCCCTGACTTTTCCCTGATTTTTAGACAAAATTTTCACTTTTTCCTTGACCCAAAAAAATATTCTAATTCACTATAAAATTTATCAGATACTCAAAAAAATGTTCTATTACATTTATTTACAAATTTCATTAATTGTAGAATTATTCAAAAACGTCAATAATTTCTTTTTTAAATAAATATTTAATCATTATTATTTTTCCGTAGAAATAAAAATTCTTCAATACATTCAAATTCAGACCTTTTTGAAATTCAACAATTTATAAGAATATTATTACAAAACATAAAGAATGCAATCACTCCGAGTCTTCGACTCGGATAAATCGCATTCTTCATATTTTCTTATCATTTAAATTACAATAAAATTTTTCAAAAAAATTGTATTATTCAGAAAAATCCTAATAAAATCCTTCGCAAGAATTCAATTATTATTATTATTCTTATTATTCAATTTATTTATTTTTAAAAATTTTTTTTTATTACAAGTTTAATAAAATTCGTTGCAATAATGGAATTATTTTCATAAATAATAATAAATCGATTATTCGGTAATTCATTTTTTAATCAATTTTTATTAGAAAATTCTAGAAGAATTCAATTATTTAAATTGAAAAATAAATAATTTATTGAATAACTGAATGTTTGTTCAAATTGAATTCTCAAAAGAATTTTATCAGCAAATTTTTAAATAATTGTACTGTTTTGACAAATTTGAATAAAATTTTTAAGAATAATTACATTTTTTAAAAAAATTTGATTAAAATATTGTATCAAAAATTAATTGAAAAATCCTGCGATGAGTTTTATTATTCATGAAAATAATTAAGAAATTTTCCCAAAAATATTATTAAAATTTTTCTAAAATAATTGAATATCGGTGAAGAATTTTATTATTTCTAAAAATAATTGAATTCTTGAAAAGAACTTTGTTAAATTTTTTTTAAATAATTGAATTCATGCGACGAATTTTATAAAAATCTTTTTAAATAATTGATATTTTTTCGAAAAATTTTATGAAATTTTGTATAATTAAATAATTGAACTCATGTGAAAATTTTATTATTTACGAAAATAATTGAATTATTTCAAAGAAATTTATTAAAAATGTTATAAATTATTGAATTCCTGTGAAATTTTAACAGGAATTTTATTTAAGTTTTCAAAAATAATTGAATTTTGAAGAAGAATTTTATTATTTATAACGATAATTGAAATTTTGACGAGAATATTTAAAAATTTTTTTTAAATAATTGAATATTGAAGAATTTCATTATTTATAAAGATAATTGAAAGTTTGACAAGAATTTTTTTTTTAAATTTTTGAACATAATTGAATATAATAATAATAATAAAAACATAATTTAATTCTTCCAACGAATTTTATTCAAGTTTATAAAAATAATTGAATTTCTGTGGAGAACTTTACTATTTCTAACAATAATTGAATGCTTTTGAAAAGAATTTTGTTAATTTTTTTTTAAATAATTGAATTCCTGCGACGAATTTTTTAAAATTCTTTTTAAATAATTGATATTTTTAGAAAATTTTTTTTGAAATTTTTTATATTAAATAAATAAATTCCTGTGAAAATTTTATTATTTATGAAAATAATTGATTTATTTCGAAGAAATTTATTAAATATTTTGTAAATTATTGAATTCCTGTGAAATTTTGCCAAGAATTTTATTAAAGTTTTTAAAAATAATTGAATTTCGAAGAAAAATTGTATTATTTATAAAGATAATTGAATTTAGGAGAAGAATTTTATTATTTTTAAAGATATAATTGAAATGACCAGAATTTTTTTTAATTTTTGAAAATAATTGAATTTATGCGAAAAATTTTATTACTTTTGAAAATAATTGAATTTCTGAAATTATTTGTAACTTTTCCAAAATTCAATTTTGTTTAGTATTTTTAACTAAAATTCTTTTATCAATCTAGTATTTATGAAAATTGTAAAAATGATTCATTAAATAATTTATAAGTCATAATTTTCTGATTGTTCTTGTAAAATTAAGTTATTTAAAAAGAAATAATTATTAGAAATAGAAAAAAATTGAGGGTTTTGTATTAGAATTCGTGGTAATTTCATAGTTTACGAGGCAAATAAAAAAAACATCAGAATTCAGAGTTTTTCATGAATTTTTAAAATTCAATTTTTTCCAGTACTTTTACTAAAAATCCCTGACTTTTCCCTGACTTCCCTGACCAATTTTACTTTCCCTGACTTTTCCCTGAATTTCCTGACCTGTGGCAACTCTGAGGTTTATTTATGATGCACTGAAATTTTTTCAATGCATCATAAACAAACCTAAGCTTAAAACAAGAATTTTTTTTTTGGTGGGATATTAGACAATAAATAATGATCTTTGTTACATAAACTCCGGGTCCTGTCCGGTGATAAAAAAAATTTACGTTCCTCAAATGTCTAATATTTGCCAAATTACGTACTTTTAACATTTTTAGAACATGGAACGTTTTTTAAAATGTTTTTTTTAAATGTTAATTTGTCAGAATAAAAAAACAAGTAATTTTTACTGATTTAGATTTAGACAGTGGCGGAACTACTATAGGGCAAACCGGGCGAAATCCCGGGGTACCGCGATTAAAACGATTTAAATATGAAACTTGGATTATTATTAATTTTTTAAAATATTTTATATATTATATTCATTATTATTCTTCATTCTATTAAATTAATAAATTATTATTATTATTTTATATTTAATATGAACATATTTGCAAATAAAAATCTTGTTTAAATAAATTCTAAAGATAAAACTTTTTCTTTAATATATATTGTAATCATTCTATTGTCAATAACTATTTCTCATTATACTAAAATTTTTATTAATGACTGAGTAAATATACTTTAAGCTTGTTATCTAGTCTCAACTGATAAATGTTTTAAAAGAGAATCAGGAGTAATTTTATTATTACTGTAAGGTATTTTCCACTGTTAATCAAATTTCATATAGTTAATGTTCCTGCATTGGAACCTGTTTAGGATCGTGTTCAGGTTCAAAAGAGGGTTTAAATTTTGACACGGAAGTTTCGCTTTGTTTGGGACCACGCCACGTTGAAAACCCCCACCCACGTGAAGTACCTAATTCGGATACTCTGTACGGCGCAGTCAGTAAATGAACAAGACTGAGTCAAGGCGGTTAAATTTCGTCGCCGGCCGACTGATTCATCGCAGAGACACAGGAGACAAAAGATTTAGCATCCACAACCGTCAACTTTATGGCGAATCAATGTGAAAAGTGTTGCAGTGGATTATTAATTAAATTAATAGAATTGTGAGCAGAGAAAGACTTCGGTAAGTTGACCGCTTTGTATTTTTTTCTTCAATTTTACATTAACATCAAATTCAATTTTGATAAAAGTGCCCCCCCCCCCCCGAGTTTAAATTTAGACCCTCTTTTGACCCTTTCTTTTTAAACCATTTTTGAAACTAAAAACGATGCACCAAAAAAACCTATGTTCAAAATGATTAGTGTACACTACTCAATTTGAATAGCAACAAAAATAAACCACCTTGGTTCATAAATATAGAAAGAATTTGAAATATTATCGAATGAAAAATAATTTTTTTAAATACTTGTAATATAATAATTACTTTATACAAACATCATTTTGAACTTCATTCTTCGTTTATTTTAAAAGATAAAATTGCTTGTAATTACTTAGTAAAAAGAAACATATTTTTGGGTTATAAACGTCAAAACAATTAACTATATATTATACTAAAAAATTGACATTTGAAGAAGTTTCGAATGATTGTAGAAATTTAATTATTTTCAAAAGTAATAATATTCTTATCACAAAATTTAATTATGTTAAAAAATTACAAAAAAATTTTGACAAAATCCAAATTATTATCTTTATACAAATAAAAAAATTCTTTAAAATTCGATTGCTTTCAAAAATTTTTTTCATTTCAATGATTTTTAATATCTACTATTTTAATAAAATTACCCAAAATAATTCAATTATTTAAAAACAATTTTGATAAAATTGTACGCAAACATTTAATTATTTCCATAAATTAATAAAAATTTTTCAGGAATTTAAATATTTACAAATTTTTTATATGTTTCTTCTCAGTAATTTAATTACTTTTAGAAATAATAAAACTCATCGCAGAATTTCAATTATTTTTAATAAAATTTTAATCAATTTTCCTTGAAAAATGTAACTATTCTAAAAATTCTTAAAATTCGTCAAACGAATTTAATTATTTAAAAATTTGTTAATAAAATTCTTTATGAGAATTAAATTTTAAGAAACATTCAATTATTTAATAAATAATTTATTTTTGAATTTAAATAATTGAATTCTCGTAGAATTTTCTAATAAAAATTAATTTAAAAATTATTTTGAAAATTAATTTAAAAATTAATTTTAGTTTAAATTTTACATAATAATAGAATATGAAAATAATTTTTAAGAAGTGTAGGAGGGCGAAAAGAAATAATTATAAATTTAGTTAGAACATGAAACATCATTATTCTTTCAACTACTTGTCAGGACTGATTTCTGACCCTTCATAATGGTTACATATTTACCTGCTTGCGGAGGGGATTTTTGGTGACGCGCCTTCGAGAAGGTTCCCAGAGTTAAGAAAACAGATGTTTTATTACTCTTGGAAAAACCCAAATTGTAGTCCGAGAGAAAACAGAAAGTTTCTACTTATTGAGGATTCTATTATTTAAATACAATAGTAAATTATATAATTGAATGTTTCTTAAAATTTAATTCTTATAAAGAATTTTATTATTAAATTTTTAAAGAATTTATTTCTTTTGACGCATTTTAATATTTTTTTAATATACGTATTTTAATATGTTTTTTTGAATTATTCTTTCAGTATTTAAGAAAATATATTATGAATATATCATTGTACAATATTTAAAGGAGTAAAAATTAGTATATTTATTTTAAAAATTGAGTATTTGAATATGAAAGTACAGAATGCCAAAAATTATTACAGTTATTTTCATCTTCTCTTATAGAAATGACTAAGAGTTTGTATTTTTCTAGGGAATATTCGTTAACTTTATACAAAAAGAATGGCGGACTTCTCCGATCACTTCCGAGTTGAACCGAAGTTGCCTTGTAAAACCTTCATGCTTCGCGCGAGCTAACAAAATTAAAATATTTCATTTATGTATATTACGTATATTACTTTTTGACGCCTCTTGACAAACAGATTTCTACATCGACTCAGTAATTGGCCCATATAAAATTATACTATTTATAAAGGTATTCATATCTATATAATATAGGTATTCATTCATATCTTCGAATTTTTAGTATAAATATATCAAAAACCAGAAAGCTACACTACAAAAATTAGTAAAGTCTTTACCACAATTTTAAAAAAGACACTTTTTCCTAAATTAGAAAATAGTTTCTTATAATGCAACACAAGATTTAGCATTTTCTACAAGTAAATTTTTTTTAGTGTACGATTTAAAAAATTAAAAATAAATGAATTTTCTTCTTTTTTCCAGGAAATAACGAAAGGTTGATCCACAACAAATAGGATCAAAAATTTTAGTGAGTCTTATTTTTTATACCATAATACCAGTAGTGTTGAGGCTATTTGGTCTATTTTCTTTTAACATTATATTTTAGTTGCATTATTGTTTAATAATTTAGAATATATTTTTGGCCAAAAATCCAACGAAACGGTCGAAATTTATTAGATAATTTGAAAATTTTCATCATATTGATTATTGGGACAAAAATATCTTCTAAATTGTTAAATAATAAATTCAAAAACTTATTCTTTTATAAATCGTTATTTAATATTTTAATGTAATCATAATTTTTCTTATTTAGTCGTAATGAATGCGGCAACATCAGTCGTGAATAACTTGCCGAAGGAAAATCCACCCGATGATGTGCAGAAGTTAGTAGAAGCTCTTCATGATGCTTCGAAACATATGACAACAAACGTCAAATATGAAGATGCTGCTGTTTGCTTAGGAAGCACTGGATCTGGCAAAAGCACCTTAATAAATGCCCTCATTGGTAACCGTTTGAAAGTTGAAGGAAATGAAAGAGGCAGAGCCATTGAGATATCTTCAGCTGATGGTCAATCATCAGGACCTCAAATGGGAATCGCTTCTACAGTTCCCTCAAGGTGGAGGTCAAATACTTTTCCTTCCATGAGTATCTGGGATGCTCCTGGCTTCGATGACTTAGGAGGTGCTTCGCGGGATGTAGTTAATGCTTCCTATATTTTCCACTTAATCCGAAAAGTTAAGTCGTTAAAAATTATCCTAGTTGTAGATATTAATCACATTCTAAATGATAATGTCAAACCATTTTTGTCTCTTTTAAATGCACTTGAAAATCTGTTGGGGGATCAAATGAAATCCATGTTTTCTAGCATCTCCGTTGTTTTTTCAAAGGTGCCCGATTTTATAAATGATATTCCAGTTAATATCGAATTTATTACCAAGACATTAAGAGAACAGTTTTTAACGACCGAGGACTTGCTCTTAACTCCGTCGACGAAAGATTTTTTACTCTATTTAACAAAAAATGTGGATCGCGTCGCTCTTTTTAAAAGATTGGAACCAGGCGAAAATATCTTTGTAGCAACTGATAATATTCGTCAAGTTATTAATAATTCCACAAGCTTAAATAATGACGCTCTAAAGACACTGAAAATATGTATTCCCAATTCTTCCAAGATTTTTCTATTTAATGCGCGTTCAGTATTAATTTCAAAAGAAGAATTTATTGCATTAGGAAACATGTTGCGTTTCGTATGTCAGTCAAAGATTCATGATCTAAAGAATATAATAAATACGATGTCGAACGAATGTGAAATACAAACTTATCTGAACGATTTAAAGTTAATCGAAAAACGAATTTCTATCATAATTAAAGAAAACAATTTCACACTGAAAATTAAACTTCTAAAATCCATTGATGTTTCAATTGGAAACAAAATTGAAGAACATAGATTGCTGGAGAGAGCTCCTTTAATTGAGTTCAGTGACAAAATCTTAGAAATGAATGAATACGATGAACTTTCATTAAATCTGAATTCAATTCTATGTAATGCATCTTCGAATGTAAAAAAAGATATTTTATTTTATGATTTTACATTAAAGACGATAATAAATAAAGAATATGACGACTTGATAAATGAAGAACATGAAGAGTATAAAAATAGATTTTATGATTGTGAAATGGAATTAAAAAAAGTAATAAGCAAAAATAATGAAAGAAGACATTTCTTTGAGAATTTAGATACAAACAAAATAGATTTGTTTTCTGAATCAGATCTAGATAATTTACTAACGAAACAAAATGAAATCGAAGAATTTGACAGAGGGGTTCATCAAGTAAATGAGGAATTGCAAAATGTAGTAGTAGAACCTAATCCTAATGATAAAGCATCTGTGGCCCAACCTCGTTCGAAGGCATTACAAATAGTGTTTAAAATTGGAAAATTTGCTTTTACTTGTATAATTTGTATTATAGCAGGAGTTTTTATTAGGTACATAATTCGTAACTACATTTTCAAATAATTTCATTTAAAAAATAAAAGTTTCACTTTTATAATCATTGATGAGTTTTTCATTGAATTTTCGTTGATTATCAAAACAGTTTTATTTCAAATATGTATAGTAAACTATAAAAATAAATTTATTTAAATATAATATAAATAAATTTATAATATACCAAAATTATTATAAATGTAAAACCAGAAAATATATCTAAAAAGAATTATTGATAATCTTTTTTTTTCGTGTTCCTTATGGTCTGACAAAAACTATTATACCAATCATGTTTACAAAAAAAAATTTCTTATTCGTTAAGAAAATTTGCAAATAAACAAGTAAGAATACAACAGTATAGTCGGCCACCTGAAACAATATTTTTAATTAATACTGTTTAAAAAATGCAATTTATATATTTTTTCAAATTCATTCAGGTGATATTGTTCTTTACGTTCACACAAAACTATTAAACCAATCATTTTTATGAAAAAAAATGTTTATTTGTTAAACAAATTAGTAAATAAAAAAGTAGATTTTATGATTGTGAAAAAGGATTTAAAAAAGTAAAAAGCAAAAATAGTAAATGAAAAGTTTTCTTTAAGAATTTAGATACGAAAAAAATTTTCCACATATTTCCGACCGCATCTGACATTTAACAGAAAATGTGAACCTCATCGCTTTTTTTTAAGAGAATGGAATCATGTGTTCATTTTCCTGTATTAAGTCCTAGTAAAATTTGACAATATTCGAATGAAAAATTTGGAGGTTTTTTAAAAAGTTGTATTTTAAAATTATTTGTGTGTAAACTTTATCAGTAAATATAATATAGTTTCTATATTTTTTGTCTACCTAAACTATTTCATTTAACTTACCTACTATAAATGTATTTTCATTTCTAATATAAAATAAACTATAAAAATATAAAGAACAGAATTATTATAAATGTAAAACCAAAAAAAGTTTCTGAACACAATTATTAATAATTTTTCTTTTTCGTGGAGAAAGTTTTGTAGTTCATCAAAATATAAAAACCAAAGTTGGTTTAATTCTGACATGACAAAGAAATTATTTTTACAATGTTTGATTTCTTAATACCTATGCAATTATTAACGCATAGTGAACCCAGAATAATGAAATAAAGATTGTTTTTTTTAAACAAAACAATAAATTCATAGATTTCTCTTTCAACAATTCAAAAAGAATGTCATAATTCAAACATTACCCCTTGTTTTTGTTAAAATTAAAAAAACTACTTTTAACAGGAAAAAAATGAGAAAAAAGATTAATTTTTTAAAGGAAGCATACGTTTCTATATTTTTGTTTTAAAAACTCAAAATCAGCGTCAGAATTAAAACGTCACCATTAGTTTTTTTAGAATTTGAAAAAATTGCCCTTAAAGTATGATGAAATTCAGATTTTGCAAACGTTGTTAAAATAAGAATACAGAAAGGTATGCTTCCGTTAAAAAATTTAAGGGTAAAGTTAGTCTATTTTTTATTTACTGAATACGACAGTAATCGGTCACCTAAAGCAATCTTCACTGTTTAAAAAATGCAATTCATATTTATTTTTCAAATTCATTCAGGTGATATTGTTTCCTTACGATCACACAAAACAATTAAAGCAATTAAAAATTGTAGTTGTATTATAATTGAGGCTCCGGATCTTAAAAGGGCACTTTCACCATGTAAACTCTATGCGGAAAGTGCCCTTTTAAGATCCGGAGCCTCAATTGCCCTATAGAAGATGCAAATAACAGTTTTTAAATAATTTCAATAAATCTATTAGGACAGTCAGAAATTTAAAAAATTTAATTTTTATAAAAATTTGAAATCCTCTTTTCAAACCTCCAAACATCGGAATATGGATTTTCCGCATTGTTTTCAGGTTCTAAAGAGGTTTAAAAAGAGAGGGTCAAAAGAGGGTTTAAATTTTGACTCGGGAAGTTGCAATTTTGGGGTGGGTTTGCGAACACCTCGAAAACCCCCACCCAACGTGAAGTAGTTAATTCCTGTACTGTACGGCACAGTTATAGTAAGTGGACAAGACTGAGTCGATGCGGTTCATTGCAAATCTCGTCGTCGGCCGACTGGTTCATCGAAGAGACGCCGGAGACAAAAGATTTAACATCCACAACCGGCAATGTGAAACGTGTTGCAGTGAATTATTAATTGAATAAAAATATATTTACATTTAACGCCAATTGGGAGCAGAGAAAGGCATCTGTAAGTTGACCTCCTATGTTTTCTCTTCAATTTTTCTTTACCATTAAATTCTATTTTGATAAAATTGCCCTCTTTATCAGGGTTCAATCCCAAGTTCTCCTTAATCAAAAGGACCCCGCTGGAAATACATTATAGTTTTGTGCTCCAGTTCATGTTCCATTAAGGTTTTGAATTTAACAGTTTTCATTAAACTGAATACAAACATAAAATTTATAAGAAAATCGCCTGGAACCCAAAACTAATGTATTTCCTTCGGGGTCCTTTATTTCCCGAATTTTCTCATTAATAATATGTTTCAAACTATAATCAAAACCGGTACAATCAACTACATATAAACGATAGGAAAATCTGAAAATTATAAAAGTAAGGAAAAGTTATATATTTATTTTTTTTTACTAATATAAGAAATATTTCTTTATGATTTTGAAACATAAACTTGCTGTTGAACGCACTTTTTGAACACGAAGTGTGAGAGAACGTTAATAGCAAGTGAAATCTGAAACTATTTGCTTACATTACACTATAGCCAGTATGCTGAAGTCAGCTATATGAAAAATACTTTCTCGAAAGTACAAGAATAAATTAATTTTCAATTTCCTAAGTAGCCTGTAAGGTTGGATTGTTGGTTGATCCAGAACAAAAAGGATCCAAAATTTTAGTGAGTCTTATTTATGTTTTTACCAAATGTCATTTACATTGCCGTACCGTCGGTACGGTGATTTTCAATATCTATTATTTTCATAAACTAATAAACATTTCAAAGAAATTCAATTATTTACAAATTTTTTTTATAAATTTCTTCGCAATATAATTCAATTATTTTTCTAATTAATAACATTTTTAGAGGGATTCAATTATTTTTCTAAATAATAAAATTCTTTCTAGGAGTTTAATTATTTTCATAAACAGTAAAACTCATCGCAGAATTTCAATTATTTTAAATAAAATTTTAATCAAATTCCTCGATAAATGTAATTATTATCAAAAATTTTATTAAAATTCGTCAAACGAATTAAATTATTTAAAAATTTATTGATAAAGTTCTTAATGAGAATTATATTCCATTTAAAGAAACATTCAAATATACAATAAATTTTTTTTTGCATTTAAATAATTGAATTCTAGTAGAATTTTCTAATAAAAATTAATTTAAAAATGTATTTCAGTTAAAAACAATTGAATTTGAAAATTCTGAAAGAACTGTTTAAAAAATTATTAAAAATAATGCATTTATAGAAAAATTTTAGTTAACACTAAAAAAAAATTAATTTTGGAGAAGTTACAAATTATTGCAGAAATTCAATTGTTTTCAAGAGTAAACTAAATAACTAAATAACTAAATGTAGAATTTCAACTATTTTTAATACAATTTTAATCGAATTTCTTGGAAAATGTAATTATTCTTATAGTTTTTAATAAAATTCGACAAAAGAATTCAATTATTTAAAAATATGTTGGTAAAATTCTTTATGAGAATTTTGAATTTTAAGAAACATTCAATTGTTCAATAAATTATTTATTTTTGCATATTTAAATAATTGAATTATAGTAGAATTTTATAACAAAAATTGATTTAAAATAAATTTCAGTTAAAATTTAAGATAATAATTGAATATTAAAAGCAATATACATATATCCTAGCGTGAGTTTTTAGAAATAATTGAATGTTGAAATTAATTTTTTTGAAAAAGTTTATTTATTTGAATTTTTTTATATTTTAAGTTTTTATTTTCTAATATTTAGCATTTAGTATTTAGTATTTCTAATATCTAATTTATTTGACTCAGACTGGTTACATTTTCGTCAGTAATAATAATAATTGGTTCGTAATTTTTCATTTTGGGTTCGTAAAACCGTATTTTTAAATACTTTCACTGATGCGAGCAGCCCTGTTACTATAAGTTAAATGAATTATAAATATTTAAATGATATATAAAATTTTTGCCTTAAATTTGTCATATAAATCAGATGTAAAATTTAAATACACAATATTATAAAGTTGAAAAATATTATTTCACGAATTGAAATTCTGTTTAATTAAAAATCACTAACATTTAGTAGAATTCATGTAGAAATTGGGTAGAATCGTTCTAGTGAAATTCTGTAGAATATTTACTAGAATTTCTATAGAGTGATTCTATAGAATGATTCTATAGAATGATTCTGGTGAAATTCTATAGAACATTTTCAGCTGGGGTGTCAATATTAACGCAATATTGTTTGTGCTATTTGCTCTATTTTTCTTTTATATTATATTTTAGTTGCATTATTATTTAGTATTTGAATTTAACCATAATTTTTTTTATTTAGTCGTCATGAACGTCGCAACACCCGATGATGTGCAAAAGTTAGTAGAAGCTCTCCATGATGCTTCGAAACATATGACAACAAACGTCAAATACGAAGATGTTGCTGTTTGCTTAGGAAGCACTCGATCTGGCAAAAGCACCTTAATAAATACCCTCACCGGTAACCGTCTGAAAGCTGAAAGAAATGGAAGAGACAACACCATTGAGATATCCTTAGCTGATGGTCAAGCTTCAGGACCTCAAATGGGAATCACTTCTACAGTTCCCTCAAGGTGGACGTCAAATACTCTTCCTTCCATGAGTATCTGGGATGCTCCTGGCTTCGATGATTCAAAAGGTGCTTTGCGGGATGTAGTTAATGCTTTCTACATTTTCCACTTAATCCGAAGAGTTAAGTCGTTAAAAATTATTTTAGTTGTAGATATTAATGACATTCTAAATGACTCCGTCAAACCGTTTGTGTCTGTTCTAAATGCACTTGAAAATCTGTTGGGAGATCAAATGAAATCCATGTTTTCTAGTATTTCCGTTGTTTTTTCAAAGGTACCCGATTTTATAAATGATATTCCAGTTAATATCGAATTTATTACCAAGGTATTAAGAGAACAGTTTTTATCAAACAAAGACATTCATTTAACAACTTTGGCGAAAGGTTTTTTACTCTATTTAACAAGAAATGTCGAACGTATCGCTCTTTTTAAAAGAGTGGAACCGAGCAAAGAAATCTTTGTAGCAACTGATAATATTCGTCATGCTATTAATAACTCCACAAGCTTAAATAACGACATCCTAAAAAAATTGAAAATTTGTATTCCGAATTCTTCCAAGATTTTTTTATTCAATTCGCGTTCAGTATTAACTTCAAAAGCAGAATTTATTGCATTAGGAAACATGTTGCGTTCCATATATGAGTCAAAAAATGATGCTCTAAAGGATATAATAAATAAGATGTCGAACGAATGTGAAATACAAACTTATCTGAACGATTTAAAGTTAAAAGAAGAGCAAATTTTTAAGATAATTTCAGAGAATAGTTTAACAGTGAAAATGGAACTTCTAAAATTCGTTGATGTTTCAATTCGAAACATAATTGTAATAGATAGATTGATGGAAAGAGCTTCATTAATTGAATTTAGTGACAAAATTTTAGAAATGAATGAACGGGATGAACTCGCTTTAAATCTGCAATCAATTCTGTGTAATGTATCTTCGAATGTAAAAAAAGATATTTTATTTTATGATTTTATATTAGGGACTATAGTAGATAAAGAGTATGATGACTTGCTAAATGAAGAACACGAAGAGTATATAAAAATAGATTTTATGAATGCGAAAAGGAATTACAAAAAGTAATAAGCAAAAATAATGAAAGAAAAGTTTTCTTTGAGAATTCAGATATACAAAAATTAGGTGTGTTTTCTGAATTAGATCAAGATGAACTACTAAAGAAACAAAATGAAAATTGGAAAAACGAAATCGAAAAATTTGAAAGAAGGGTTGATAAATCAAATGAAGAATTGCAACATGTAGTAGTAGAACCTAATTATAATGATGAAGCATCTTTGGCCCAATCTGGTCCGGTGGAACCGCATTCATCGTGTTGTTCGAAGTGGTGGAAAATAAGGATTGGTATAGTCATAATTATAAAAGTACTAGCACTAATTATTTATCTTAACAGGAAAGAAGAAGTTCTGCAGTATAATATTCCCAATGTTATTAACACCCGCGATGAAGCTTTTCCCTCGTCACTACCAACGTTCAAACCCAACTATTGGCTTGAGGCAATCGAAAGAACTCGAAATCATGATAGCAGTTTATATGGGTGACTTCATTGAAAAGGAAATATTGCTGTCCCCCGCTCCATAAATTGACTTGTGGGCTTATTTTTGTTAATTTGAAACTTTTTCCCGGTAGTTAGTGGTGCAATTAATTGACCCTCCAAGTTTGATACCAATTATTGGCAAAACAGAAAACGAGATAACCCATCAGAAACAGACAAAAATAGACAGAAATGGCATTACTGTCCCGCATTTTTAGTCTTTCTAGAGTTCGACTTCCCACATAGCACAATAATTTTCTGCAAATTTGCGGCAAGTTTTCAAAGTCAAATTCGAAAACATGCCTGGCAAATTTGCAGCAAACTTGCGGTAAATACAAAAATGTTCGTTTGGTGGAAAGTTGGCAGAGCAAATTTGCAGAAAATTTGCATAGCAAAGTAAATGTTAAATGCATGCGCAGTAGTTTTCTATGACATCTAGAGCTGCGCACTACATTTATGTCACCTTCCCTGTAAGGGAAAGCAAAGTTTATCAAATTACATACATTTTGAATACAAAAAGATTTTTTTTTGGGAATTTTTAGGTTTTTTGAAAGTTTGCTGCAAATTTTCCTAAAGTTTGCTACAAAATTATCTGCAAGTTTGACACGCAAGTTTTCTGCAAATTTGCTCTGCAAACTTGCCACCAAACGGACATTTTGGTATTTGCCGCAAATTTGCCAGGCAAGTTTTCAAATTTGGCTTTAAAAACTTGCCGCAAATTTGCAGAAAATTATTGTGCTATGTGGGTTTGTGTGTGTATGTGCATATCTATCAACAATTATACGACAATAAGTGTGATTTTACAGAAAATCGAAAAAAAATATTCTCATTGATTTAATTGTTTTAACGACCTCCTCAAATATCCTAACTTTTTCGATTAAATATTTTTTGTATATTTTTTACATTTTAACTGTCTACTGTCAGAAACTCAAATATAATGGAACATATTAAAATTTAACCATCATACATGAATTTTAGCATCCGGTAGCGATATAGTCACGGACTGGAGTTACACCACACAGTGGCGAAAAATGTACTTTTTCGTTTCAAATCACTCTACAGGTCTCAATTTTTACCAAAACAATTTTTCTTTTCTTCTAAATCTACGTAATTAGATTCTCTATCGATTTAGAGAGAATTCTCAGCTACGTGATCTATATGTTTTGGTGAAATCGAAATTAGATTGTAAAATTACTCCAAGATCATGAACCTCCCCAACTCTATTTAGAATAGTGTTGTTAATATTATAATTGATTAATTGCGGTGATAAAGATTTTGAAAAAGTGATTACCGAACACTTCTTAACATTTAACAAGAGTTAAATTGATATAATCTGTCAATGTCTTTTTGAAACTCTTCGGCATCATCTATGGAGGTGATAACTTTATATAATTTCATATCATCCGCAAATAATAGAAATAAAGAATGTTTAAATATAGAAGAGCCATCGTTTGTAAATAAAATAAATAAAAGTGGTCCGAGGTTCGAAATTGTCTGTTCTTATCATCGCAGAATATAATGAATAACTATTTTGTAATATTCAAGCTTATAAATTTTCAATACACAGCTTAATTTTTCAAGGTAAAAATTGGCAGAATTTTAACGGTTTTCAGAAACAAAATAATTTTTTTTTACAAAAATTCTGTCATGTTAAGCTCGGCGAATATTATTTCCGTAATTTTGAAAATATAAATGACTCGAAATTAATATTGGTAACCATTAATTTGAAAATTGTCATTTTCCAACATGCTTCGGAGGGAGAATTCTCTTTTATTTGAAGTCACCCATATGTACATTCCAAATTGAAAATACAAAAATTTTTTTTTGGGCTTCAAGAAGAGGCTACTGAGTACACCTTATGAGTTTTATTGCAATTGTAATGGTAGAACATATAAATAATTCAAATTGTTTATAAAATTGTTAATAAAAATATGGAATTTTTTAAAATTCACAATCATGTAAATATTTTCTGTTAAAAGAGTGAAAAATTTTATGTAATCAGAGTAAGTGTCATTAATTTAATATAAACGGATTTTGAGTTATCAATCTTTTTTCAAAATGTTGTAATATTTTGTTAATGAAAAATAAAATAAGAAAAATTTAAAAAAACAGTTATATGGGTTTTTTTGTTTTGTTATATGAACTACAGATTTTCATAAAAGCTTTAACATTTTAGAAAATCAATGACATTTCTTTAACACAGTTAAGCAGGTCTCACTCAGTTAGTAATCGTTGATGACTTGGTTTTGATTTAAAATAATTAAAATTCTATTATAGTAAAAAATAACACCAAAATGGACTATTTTAATCCTTTTTTGGTGTTAATTTAATCTGTAACGCTTTTTACTACCTCACAATTTACTGTGGTAAAAAAAAGTTATAAAAATTGTTAAGTGATTTTTCAGCTGAGTTAAGCTAGCCGCAAGCTTGCGAATAATGGGTTTGCGACCATCTTGAAATCCCCTAATCATCGTGAAGTACCTAATTCGTATACTGTACGGCGTAGTCAGTAAGTTGACAAGACTGAGTCACGGCGGTTAAATCTCGTCGCCGGCCGACTGGTTCATCGAAGTGGATTATTAATTAAATTAATAGAATTGTGAGCAGAGAAAGGCTTCGGTAAGTTGACCTCTTTGTGTTTTCGTTTTAATTTTTCTTTAACATCAAATTCTATTTTGAAAAATGTGCCCTCCAGAGTTAAAGTTTTTTTCTCTCTTTTTAAACCTTTTTTGAACCTAAAAACGATGGACCAAAAAAAAACCAAAAAACCTTTTAATATTATTATAATTATAATCATCATAAATTCTAACGTAGGGAATTCAGGAAAAAGTCAGGAATTTTTATTAAAAGTAGGTACTAAAAAAATTAAATTTTTAGACTTCATAAGAAAATTGTAAAAAAACTTTTTTTTTAAATAACTTAAATCTTGAACAACTATTATAAAATAAATAAATTATTTAATGAATACTTTTTCTTAAATATTTCAAAATTAATTGAATTTTAAAAGAGTTGAGTTTAAAATTTTCATAAATAAATGAACTTCAAACGGTTTCAATTTAAAACTTTATAAAATTTCAATGTTGAATGAATTTAATTAGAAATTTTAATAAACTTAGATTTTTGAAAAACTTTTATAATTCAAAATCTTGTCAAATTAGTTACATTTGGCAATATATATTTAACTAATTATTAAAAATAATTAATTTATAGAAGAATTTTAGTTAAACCCTTCGCAGTTCAGTTAAAAATCGCTTGTAGTCCAAAAACGGACCCAAAAAAAAGTTCACAAAAAAAATATGTTTTATCATGTATATAAGGTTTTTGTGGTCGCTGAATTCAAATTTGAAGTCAGTTTTTTAAAATTCAAAATGGCGGATAATTCTAAAATTGATGAGTTTTAACGGAAATTCATTCCTCGGGGATCTTCGGGGTCGCTGATTACGAATCTAATGTTAGACTTTCAAAATTCAAAGTGGCGGATCCAACATGGCGGACGAGATAATTAAAAATCCATTAAAATATTTTCATATTCAATTATTATCTTAAATTTTAACTATAAAATTCATTTTTAAATCAATTTTTATTAGAAAATTCTATAAGAATTTTATTATTTAAATGCAAGAGTAAATTATGTAATTGAATGTTTCTTAAAATTTAATTCTTATATAAAGAATTTTATTACCAAATTTTTAAAGAAATGAATTCTTTTGACGAATTTTAATAAAATTTTTAAGACTAGAGATATGTACAATTTTCAGGAATTTGATTAAAATTGTATTAAAAATATTGTTCAAAAATGATTTACGAAATTTGATAGCAGTCCACCGTTCTGTCACCTATAGGATCGTTTTTAGGTTTAAAAAAGGTTTAAAAACAGAGGGTCAAAATTTTGACACGGGAAGTTGCAACCCAGTAAAAAAAAACTAATTCAAATGAATTGAAACGAATTAACATTTTTGGTAGGCTCCAATTCGTATTTGTCACAAAGCGGGATTCACTCAAGCTCTTTGTATATTCAATTGAATTTAATTCAATATGTACCAATTTGTCCAAACGAATTCGCATTCGAAAGAAATGGCCAAGGAATGCATTGAATTCGTGCTAACGAATTGAAAAAAATTAAAGGCTCAAAACTTGTCCAGTGAATTGGTACGGATAGAAGGTTCGGAAGTTCAATACAGTTTCACGAATTCAGGAAAATTGCATCATGGCTCCAATTCGTATTTGTCACAAAGCGGGATTCACGAAAGCTCTTTGTGAATTCTTTTTAATTCATTTCAATTAGTTTTCGTTTACTGGGAAGCTTGCATTCTGTTTGGGATGGGTTTGCGACCCCCTTGAAAACCCCCACCAAATGTGAAGTAGTTAATTCCTGTACTGTACGGCCCAGTTATAGTAAGTGGACAAGACTGAGTCGACGCGGTTCATTGCAAATCTCGTCGTCGCGTCGACCGACTGGTTCATCAAAGCGACGCAGGAGACGAAAGATTTGACATCCACAACCGGCAATGTGAAACGTGTTGCAGTGAATTATTAATTGAATAAAAATATATTTACATTTAACGCCAATTGGGAGCAGAGAAAGGCATCTGTAAGTTGACCTCCTATGTTTTCTCTTCAATTTTTCTTTACCATTAAATTCTATTTTGATAAAATTGCCCTCTTTATCAGGGTTCAATCCCAAGTTCTCCTTAATCAAAAGGACCCCGCTGGAAATACATTATAGTTTTGTGCTCCAGTTCATGTTCCATTAAGGTTTTGAATTTAACAGTTTTCATTAAACTGAATACAAACATAAAATTTATAAGAAAATCGCCTGGAACCCAAAACTAATGTATTTCCTTCGGGGTCCTTTATTTCCCGAATTTTCTCATTAATGATATGTTTCAAATTAATCAAAAGCTGTACAATCAACCAAATATAAACGATAAGAAAGTCTGGAAATTATAAAAGTAAGAAAAAGAATACGTTTATTTTTTTTTAAATAAGAAATATTTCTTTATGAATTATGATCATCTGCAGGATAAGATATCATGTGTTATCACTATCAAAAAAATAAATAATTTTATGCTTCATCACTTATGATTTCCAGTAACATAAATCACTTTTCAAACTACAATTTACAATATAATGATTTTAAAAATTAAAAATAAATTAATTTTGTTCTTTTTCCAGAAAATAACGAAGGGCTGATCCAGGACAAAAAGGATCAAAAATTTTAGTGAGTCTTATTTATGTTTTTACCAAATGTCATTTACACTACCGTACCGACGGTACGGCGATTTCGAATATATCTATTATTTTCATAAACTAATAAACATTACAAAGAAATTCAATTATTTAAAAATTTTTCTTATAAATTTCTTTGCAATATAATATTAAATTATTTTTCTAAATAATAAAATTCTTTTTAGGAGTTTAATTATTTTCGTAAGCAGTAAAACTCATCGCAGAATTTCAATTATTTTTAATAAAATGTTAATCAAATTTCTAGATAAATGTAATTATTATTAAAATTAAAAATTATATTTATTAAAATTGAATTTTAAAAGAGTTGAATTTACAATTTTCATAAATAGATAAACTTCAAAAGGTTTTAATTTGCAATTTTGTAAAATTACAATTTTGACGACTCGGAGTAATCGATATCTTCATGTTTTATAACTTAATAATAACCATAATTTTTTTTATTCAGTCGTCATGAACGTCGCAACACCCGATGATGTGGAGAATAAGTTAGTAGAAGCTCTCCTTGATGCTTCGGAATATATAACGACAAACGCCAAATACGAAGATGCAGCTATTTGCATAGGAAGCACTCGATCCGGCAAAAGCACCTTAATAAATGCCCTCATTGGTAACCGTTTGAAAGCTGAAAGAATTGGAAGAGGCAACTTCCTAAAGATATCGTTACCCAGGTAGAAAAATTTAATGGAAGCCTAGAGGTAAGTTCTCAAATGCGCCACTGGACAAATGCGCCACCGGTCAAATGCGCCACGGATCAATTGCGCCACTGGACAAAGGCCCCACATTTGTCATATTTGAGGAAAGTGAAAAGTTTGTTCGAGAGATGGAGCTAGGTGTTCTTGGTATAGAAATTTGTCAAGTGAATTCAATTTCTTGCCAATTTCGCTCCGTATAGTGAAAATAAATTTAAGTGAAGTGTTAATTAACTGGTAATTAATTAAATGTTCTATATCAATTACGGATAACATTTTTGAGGTAAGTTGCTGTTTTTATTTTATATTAATAATAATAATAATAATAAATATTATTATTATTGTTTAAAGAAATGTGGAAATTTTTTTTAATAACTAATTTATGAAACATTTTATTTTTAAATCGTTTTTATTTATATTTTTTCTTTGGAATAATTTAATAATTCCTTTAATAATAAGATTTTTTGATATTTTCAAAAGCTCTTTATTTTTATAGAATTAGTTTGTATTTTAATTAAATAACGAGATTAAGAATTCTTTATTTTATTATACTTAATTTTACTTTCATAATTATAAATTAATTGCATTTATTTTAAACTTAGAAAGTACTTAAATTTTCTTGAAGACAAATAAAATATAATTTATTAACAATTGTAATATTGAATATAATTCTATTTTCTAATTTGAATTTCATTTAATTAATTTTTTAAATTAGCTAACGTAAAAGTTTTTCTGAATTCACGTTCATACTTTTAGAAATGATAAGACTTCTTATAAAGTTTCAAATATTACGGAAGTTTAGAAAAATTATTCCAATTTTTATTTTATAATTAATGGTATTTATATTAAAAACAGTAATATTTTGAAGAATAATTTTTTTTTGGAAACGTAATATATAAAAAAGCAGGCTTCGCACTCATCTACTAAAATCTATACTATTTACTCCTTTTTTTGTCAAATTTCTGACACTAAATTATAATTATAATTGTTATTGAAAATTCTTTTAAACAATTGGAAATTGAAGAATGTTCGCAATATTTTTTTTAATATTAAATTACCATGTATTGATGCGCAAAACTCCAAGGATTAATTTAAAAAAAGACAAATCAGTAAACTCCAATATTATAGAAATTGTGTAGAATTTTCTGCCAAAATGCAGCCGAAAATCGACTTTTAATCTTAAAAATCCGCTTGGAAGCGTGAAGTTTTCAACAAAACAAGAGAAGATCTTATTTATATTCGTTTGCAATTTTATTTTTTTCCTGGCGCTCGAGTCGATTGTCGTCTGCATTTTGGCAATAAAATAATTTTTTTGCCAATAAATTTATATTCTTAATTATATTACAATTTTTATACTCACATTATAATTTTTCTATAGTTATTAATATAATTTTTCTATAGAATAATGCAATTTGTAATTGTTTCTGTTTAATATTTTTGAGAGATAGGATAGATATTAATTTAGCAATAATATAGGGGTAAATAAGGATTTTATTTAAAAAAATTTAATTGACGAATAAAGTTACAAAATTTGGTCGAAAAATTGAGATTCAATTTTAACATATTTTTTAAAACTTTTAATTACATTATTTGGCTTTAATATAATTTTTAAAATTGTCACGGTCTGTGATGCCTAATTATTTAAAACTTTTTTATACATCTTAAGGCTCGATTTTAATCATCAGAGCTTCACTTTGATCAGAATTTAAAAAAAAGAAGTCACATATTTTAAGAGGTTAAAATAATGAAATATTTATAGAATTCAATACCATTGTCAAATAATTAATAAATTATTACTCTTTCAGGCTTCGCACTCGACAATTACTTTTAAAAAAGTAGCAGAAAGTAGCTTTAAATCTGAAAATAGTAGTAAAAAGTAGCAATCGAAAAATTAAAATTTGACGATTAAAAAAATCTCGTTTTAATCGAACCACAAAAAATTGATTGAGAATAATTTTTTTTCAATCATTAGAGGATTTAAACTAATGTAATTTGTGGAAATGTATCTTTTAGTGTCAGAAATTTGACAAAAAAAGGACTAAATAGTATAGATTTTAGTAGATGAGTGCGAAGCCTGCTTTTTTTATATATTACGTTTCCAAAAAAAAATTATTCTTCAAAATATTACTGTTTTTAATATAAATACCATTAATTAAAAAATAAAAATTGGAATATACAAATGTGGGGCCTTTGTCCAGTGGCGCAATTGATCCGTGGCGCATTTGACCGGTGGCGCATTTGAGAACTTACCAGATATATGCTAGCGCCACCACTGGAATTTGCATGGCAGTTTATTTCGCCGACGTCTTCTAGCGCCTTGAATGGCGCGAGCACTTTTTGCTAGAATGCAACATAACCTCAAATTTCTGTTGCATAAACTGTCAAAGGTGTTTGCTTTTATTTTTAAAGTAAAAGTAAATGTTTGCTTGTTGAATATTGTGGCATTTAAAAACAATAATAGTAAAGGATTCTAAGTATTTATATATTTGTAATTGTATTAAATTTAAATATAAATTAATATTGCATTATAAATTTATTGTTCATTCGTTAATTTATACACTTATTTATAAAAGAATTTTTAATATATGAAGCTTTATTCAACCTCCAAGAAAATTTTTTAATATATTTTAAGTAATTAATCTAACGATTTATCACCAAGAATAACAATAAATACTTTTTAATGGATCAAATATATTATTAATTTCTCTCCATTCGAATTAGAAAACATAACCTCAAACTAGATTTATTTTTTCTTTATTTTTAATTGACCTGACAGAAAAGATTTACTGATTTTAAATAGGAACTTAATTTTTTCAGTTGTTATTATTATTATTATTATTATTATAAAAGAATTGGTTAATTTCAAAAATTTTAATTTCAATGTTTAACATGTGTAACTATTTTTGACACTGTTACTGTGAAGAAATAAATAATTTTTTATGGAAATTTAATAATAATTTATTCTTAAAATTTCCATATTTAAAAACAATTTTATACAGCAAATAATGATCAAAATTTTGATTAGGCTTGGGATTAAGAATAGGTTACCGTTTTCTGAATTAAAATCTATTACCATAACTTTAAACGAAATGTGTATTTATCTTTAAATACGTTTAAATTTCATTGCAGGCAGATAATTAGTAAATGTTTTTTATGTTTACACAATTTTTTTAATTATATTCGTCAAAAGAAATGACATAAGAATCATCTTTTAAATCGCGAAATAAATAAAGCACCATGCTAGCGCCACCAAATTTTTCTACTAGGGTAGCTGATGATCCATCTGCAGGACCTCTAATGGGATTCGCTTCTATAGTTCCCTCAAGGTGGACGTTAAATACTTTTCCTTCCATGAGTATCTGGGATGCTCCTGGCTTCGATGACTCAAAAGGTGCTTTCCTTTGCTTTGCTTTCTACATTTTCCACTTAATTCGAAGAGTTAAGTCGTTAAAAATTATCTTAGTTGTCGATATTAATGACATTCTAAATGACTCCGTCAAACCGTTTTTTTCTGTTTTAAATGCACTTGAAAATCTGTTGGGAGATCAAATGAAATCCATGTTTTCTAGCATCTCCATTGTTTTTTCAAAGGTACCCGATTTTATAAATGATATTCCAATTAATATCGAATTTATTACTAAGACATTAAAAGAACAGTTTTTAACAAGCTTAACTAATGACGCTCTAAAGAAATTGAAAATTTGTATTCCCGATTCTTCCAAGATTTTTCTATTCAATACGCGCTCAGTATTAACTTCAAAAGCAGAATTTATTGCATTAGAAAACATGTTGCGTTACATATGCCTGTTAAAGATTCATGATCTAAAGAATATAATAAATAAGATGTCGAACGAATGTGAAATACAAACTTATCTGAAAAATTTAAAGTTAATAGAAAAACAAATTTCAAGGATAATTGAAGAGAATAGTTTAACACTGAAAATTAAGCTTCTTAAGTCCATTGATGTTTCAATTCGAATCATAATTGTAATAGATAGATTGATGGAAAGAGCTTCATTAATTGAGTTCAGTGACAAAATTTTAGAAATGAATGAATGGGATGAACTCGCTTTAAATCTGCAATTAATTCTGTATAAAGTAGCTTTGACTGTAAAAATAGATATATTTTATGAGCTTATGTTAGGGAATAAAGTAGATAAAAAGTATGATGACTTGCTAAATGAAGAACGTGAAGAGTATGAAGAAAATAGAGTTTATGAAGTTAGAAAGCGTTTGCAAGAAGTAGAAAGCAAAAATAATGAAAGAAAAGTTTTCTTTGAGAGTTCAGATATACAAAAATTAGATTGGAAAAAGGAAATCGAAAAATTTGAAAGAAGGTTTGATAAAATAAATGAGGAATTGCAAAATGTAGTGGTAGAACCTAATAATAATAATGCAGTATCTTTGGCCCAATCTGGCGCTGTACTACCTAAATCAGATTCCTATTTTAAACGAAATAAGAAAAAGATTTGTTGGTTCGCTTTTTTAATTGTAATATGTTTCAAACTAGTTTTACTTCGTTATTCACATTTTGGAATTTATAGATATAAAGCTACAGACAAATACAATGGTTAAGAATACCATTTTTTTTGTCAGTAAACCAGCTGCTAATTCGATAGTTAAATATAGCTTTTTTTAATTTTTAATAGTTAAACTAATAGTTATATGAACCACTGATATAATAATAATAATTCCAGACGCAGTGATAAATAAAATTCTGACACGAACGCTATCTGCAGTATTTTCTCGTTGACCATGTAATCAGAAATACGTCTCGTGAAACTTGTTCGAAATGTTAAAGTATTCTTATTTGTATTTTTATATTTTTAATAAAGAAATATTTTGTGCAGCAACGGATGTATATAGTTTTTTTCCAAACAAGAAGGAAAATAATGTTTTATATTTATTCACTTTCGTCCAGATAGAAAATTATTCTATTATAGTAGACTTATTGTTATTTTTATTTTTCATTCTTCTTTTTTCTTCTCGTGACAAAAAACAGCAAATGCTCGCAATTATCTTCTGATTATGATTTATCTCTCATCCACACAAATACTGTTATTGTTATTTATAAGCACAAATATATAGTATGTGCGTATTTTAATTTAAATTTTTTAATATACAGTCAGGTCTCGCTAAGTGTCGTCACTGGGAATTTTTTGGGACCGTCTATCTCAGTAAGTGTCAGTGACCTAAACCACGCTTCTTTAATAAAAGTGGTCATTTCATTGGTTTATGTTGCAAACCGGTTTGGGGAAGTCCATTTTTAGCATTGGAGAGGGTAAAAAAAAGTAGGGAAAGTGACAGTTGTCGGGTCTTGAACGATGACACTTTGTGAGTCATGACACTTACTGAAAACAACACTTGGCGAGACCTGACTGTAGACGAGAAAGAGGACATTTACATTGTACATTTAGTCTCATTTGGTAGCTGAAGCCTTATTTGTGTATTATATATTATTTCTTGGTTTCTAATGTTGGAAATGAATTTCTTCATCCGGTAAATTTAAAAGTAAGTTATAAACAATAGTACTTTGTAATTTGTTAATATTTTCTCTTATAACAGAAACAAGTGTAAATCATTTTAAAGAAATATCCTTATTTAGAAAATTTTTTTTTATAATAATTATATTTATATTTGTTCAGAAAATTTCATAAAATTATGGAAAAAATTAAATGCGTTTAGAATTTACAAGAAAATTCTGAATTTTTGTCTTTTTGTTTTCCTTATAAACTATGAAATTTCCATGAATTCTAAAGAACTCTTTAATTTTTTCTACTTCTGACAATAATTTATTTTAAATACACGGAGAAAAAAATGCTGTTGAATCAATGACATATGGGTTTGATTCATTGAATAGTGCCCCGTGTAGAAATTTTGGCCGGGGCCAGACCGGGCTTCCCTAAGTCGGGGTGAAACAATAAAACCGACCGGGGCCATGGCGACAGCCCGATTTGCCCCCGATTTGACGAGCTCCCAGACCGGGGCCCGGTCGGGTTCCCTGTTTCATGCGGGGTCAGGGCCCGGGCGGGCAATTTCTGCACGGGTGTCATAACGGGCTGCCTAACGTATATGCTGTTGTTTTGAAAGCACCGATTCTAATGATTCGATAGTATCACTTTCTTTGAAACAAAAGCATATTTCTCAAATTCACAGCATACTATGTTAATTCGAAGGTATTCCTTTTGAATCAATGAACAAAATTTTTTAATTTAACAGTATATATGCTTTTGAGTCAATGACTATAATTTTTAAATTTAAAAGCATCATCTTTATGATTCAAACATTTGTACTTTTAATTTTTAATTTAATAAATAAATAAATTAATTAATTAATAATAAATTTTTAATTTAATTAATTTTTAATTTAATTTTTATTTGTGAAAATAATTGAAGTTTTCGATTAATTAATTTAAAATAGAGTTAAAAATAATTGCAATTCTTCGATGAGTTTTATTATTTATTAAAATATTTAAATTCATGCTCAGAATTTATATAAAAATTTTTGTTGAAAAATTGAATTATTATGAAAAATTTGATTATTAGTAAATATATTAGTGTTTGTAATTGAATTATTGTGAAAAATAAATTGCATAAACTTTTGTCAAATAATTGATTTTTTCGATGTTTTTTTTTGAAAATTAGCGAATTAAAAGTATAGTGTTAATTCTCTGAAAAAAATATTATTTATATTCTTTGTTCAGAAAGTTGAATATATAATAATTTTTTTACCTTCTTTATTCTTCAGAATAATTAAAATTTTCGTAATAAAGATTATTTATCATTTAAATTTATTTTATTTTATTTTTAATTTTTAACAATTTTTGCGAAATTCAATTTTACTCGTACAAGAAAGTTTAATTATTTTCAATTTTGAAAATCCGATGTCAAATTTGAAATTATCAAAATTTGTTAAAATTGTTTTTATATACTTTAAAGTTCAAAAATATAATATAATTTGAAAATTTAATTCTAATTAGTTTTTTCAGTTTTGTGTCATAATAAGTATTTCTTTAAAAATTACTTAAATTAAAATGAATTGTAGTTGTTTACAATAAACTGCAATACAAAATAATTATAATATAATTAACTTTCCTTTTTCAGAATCAGTTCACTTAAGCAGAACCATGAAGCTAAAGTTCATTTTGATTCTTTGTGCACTGATATCAATTGTCAAGGGCAACAATGATTGTCTCAGTCAGAAAGATTTGAAAGTTTTAGAAGAAACCTTTCACTCTGCTTCAGCATACATGAAAAGGGAAGTTAAGGAAGAGGATATTGTACTTTGCATTGGAGCAACAAGAGCTGGAAAGAGCACCTTGGTAAATTATTTAATTGCCAATAAATTAAAAGCCGAGAGAATTAATAGATACACTTCCATAAATATATCAAAAGTCGACAATAAATCCCCAGGACCGGAAATTGGATTTGGCCCAATGTCAAAAACAACAATTCCAAAGAGATGGTTATCGAAAAAATTACCCCAAATTGCAATTTGGGATGCTCCTGGATTTGATGATAATAGAGGAGCAATACAGGATATCACAAATGCCTTTTATCTCCATCAATTAATACAAAATGTAAAATCTATGAAAATTATTTTAACCATCGACATAAATGACATACTTCATGACAATATTAAACCATTTCTATTGGTTTTAAGCGCAGTTGAAAATTTATTAGGTGTCAAAATGAAGCCATACTTTACCAGTATATCCGTAATATTTACAAAGGTTCCAAATAAAATCGAAGGCATTCCCGTTGATATGGAAGTTATAAATGAAAAATTATTCTCACAATTCTTATCAAACAGTGAGATGGATATATCGAAAGTTTCCAAAGAATTTATTCAATTTTTAATAAAGAATAATAATCGTATTGCTTTCTTCAAAAGACCTCAAGAAATTGGACTTATCACTTCAGCAATTGATGTAAATATTTTTCCGGTCATTCAAAATTCTCAACGAATTGATAAATATTCCCTAAAGGAACTAAGTCCCAGTATTTCTGAACAATCGAGAATTTGTTTATTTAAAGTTCGTGAAGCATTGTATTCACTGAAGTCATTAGAAGAATTACAAAACGATTTTATTGCCGATATGGATAATACTGCAAAAGCTGTCAATAATTTTAATGGCGCTATAGAATTTGAAATATTCGTAAATTATGTTCTATCGATTTTAATCGGATATGAGAAGAAATTGAATATTGCCATTAATTACAGTCGAACGTTCCCCGAAATACTCAAAGCATATGGAAACGTTCATAGTGAATTGTCTCGAAAAATTGACGAATTGAAAATAATAGAGAAATATAATCTAATGAAATTTGTCGATAAATTATTAAATTTGAATGAATCCAAACAATTTGAGTTTGCAATTCAAAAAGAACTGAGTTTATCATTATTGAAAGTGAAAGAAACTGAAAATATTGTTCGAGAAATATTGAATTCAATAATACAGAAGAAATATGAAATTCAAAGAATTGAGGAAAGAAGAAGGCAACAGGAAGAATTGGATCGACTTTCTTGGATATTCGAGCAAAAAAGAAGAGAAGCTAATAAAGGAGTTTTGGAAATTCTCGAAGATTTATTTGGTTAAATACTCAATTTTTTACGGATGAAATAAAATTATTGGAATATTCTCAAAATTTTGTTCTTTAATCACAATCAAGTAATCAAAATCCTAATGAAGTTACGAAGCTTTTTTTTAACTCAAACTATTTTTTGAAATTAAATTAAATTAATTTTAGTTCTTAAAATCTCTAAAAACAAAAGAAAAACTCGCACATTTTAAGGAAAAGGCTTCGGAGATGAAAATAAATTTTTTTTCATACACAGTCAAACGTGAGGGTGTTAAAATAACACCAGAATGGATTAAAATAATATCCAACAGTTTAATCCCTTTAGGATTAAATGAACACCAGAAAGGATTAAAATACTCTATTTTGGTGTTATTTTTAACTATGAATGAAATTTTACTTTCAATAAAACTCCAAAGTCGACGATTTGTAAAAAATCAAGGAATTTAGCCTCTTCAAGGAGAATAGTAAATTAGTGAGTTATAATTACTAACTTACAAACTAACTTAGTAACATAGTTACTAAATTCAATTGCGTTCAAAAATTAAAAAAAAAATTCTCGTCAAAATTTCAATTCTCTGTATAAATTATAAAAATCTTCTCTGATATTCAATTATTTTACAAAAGTTTAATCAAATTATTGTCAAAATTTCAATAATTTTCAAAAGTTTTCTAAAATTCAATGATTTTTAATATCTACTAGTTTAATAAAATTTTTCAAAAGAATTCCAATATTATAAAAAAAATTTAATAAAATTCTACGCAAACATTCAATTATTTTCATAAATAATAGAAATTTTTACAAGGATTCAATTATTTTTATAAATAATAAAATTCTTTATATAGATTTTCAATTATTTTTAGGAATTTTTATAAAATTTATTGTAAAATTCAATTATTTTCAGGAATTTTTATAAAATACATTGTAAAATTCAATTATTTTCATAAATACTAATATAATCATCACAAGAATTCAATTATTTTTGAAATTAATAAAATTCTTCGCAGAAATTCAATTATTTTCAAAACATCTAAAAAAATTGTGATGATTTCAATTATATTTATAAATGAATAGCAAAATTCTTGTCAAAATTTCAATTATTTTCTAAAATTATGTTAATTCAATAATTTTCAATATTCTACTATTTTAATAAAATTTCCCAAAAGAATTCAATCACTAAAAAAATTTGTGCAATTTTCTACACGAACATTGAATTATTTACCAAAAAAAAAATAAAAATTTCACAGGAATTCAATTATTAAAAATAGAATTTGTATAAATTAAAAAGAAATGTTTTAAAATTTCGTATTAAATTTTTTGCAGTAGTTCAATTATTTTCATAAATTATAAAATTCTTTACAAGGATTTAATTATTTTTATAAATAATTCAATTAATTGTAAAATTCAATTATTTTCATAAATAACAATATTCATCACAAGAATTCAATTATTTTCATAAATAATAACTTTTTTATAGGAATTCAATTCTTTTTATAAATAATAAAATTCTTTGCAGAAATTCAATTATTTTCCTAAATATTAAAGCTGATTGCATAGTTTCAATTATTTTTTATGTAATTTTATTCGAATTTCTCGAAAAATGTAATTATTCTTAAAATTTTTATTAAAATTCTTTCAAAGAATTTAATATGATTTAAAAAATTTGTTGATAACATTCTTTTATGAGAATTTAATTTCAAGAAACATGAAATTAGTAAATGATTTATTTTTGTACTTAAATAATTGAATTCTCATAAAATTTAAAAATTATTAAAAATAATAGATTTATTGAAGAATTTTAGGTAAAAACACTAGAAAAAAATTTTATTTTATAGAAGTTACAAATTGTTGCAGAAATTCAATTATTTTGAAGAGTAATGAAATTTTTCTTAAGGATTCAATTATTTTCACTGATAATAAAACTGATCGCAGCGTTTTAATTACTTTTCTTACAATTATAATTAAATTCCATGAGAAAAGTAATTACGCTCATGCAAATTTTAATAAAATTCGACAAAAGAAATTAAATTATTTAAGGCGTACTTGCGTTTGCGAAGGCAAAAAATAGGCCCCACTTTAATGTTTTTCTTCACAGACATTTTATTTGAAATATTAAAAACGATTTTTGCACCTTAAAGTACATTATAAAAACTACAAAAACAAAGAATTGTTTCGTTTTTCAACCGTTATTTACGATTCGTAGAGGGCCCCAAAAATGGCGATCTCAAATTTGTAAGAGTTTGCGGTGCCCCCTCTAGAGCCGCTCCTGACAGTCTAAAATAAAAAAAAACAAAATTTATTCTTTAGTATACATTAATACCTAGTGGACTAATGTGCTGAAATAAAAAAAAAATTTTAAACGAAAATGCGGTACTTTTAAAGTCAATTTTTAAGAAATGATGATTTCGATCTTTTGAATTCGCGACCTGGACTGCCTTACCCAGGAGGACGAGGTGCAGGAGGCACTATCGGATCTCATAAGTGAACCGGCAGAAAGCAGAAAAGTGACGGTCCTTGGACCTAACAAGCGGGGGATGAAACTCGCAATTGTGGTCACCGACCAGGATCAGGCTGCAAAGCTGGAGGTGCTCGGACGCATAAAAATTGGTTTTATGTCATGCCCGATCAGAAGGAGGCTTATGATAGTAAGGTGTCATCGATGCCTCGGCTATGGTCACCTAGCAAGAGAATGTAACATGACGGATAGATCGACTGTGTGTTTTAAGTGCGGTGAAGTGGATCATAAGGCTGTGGATTGCAAGAGGAATATGCTTTGCTTTTGGTGTAAGGAGAAGTTCCCAGAAACGAAAAACGTTCATCACGTTGCGGGAAGTGTAACTTGCAGGATCTTCCGAACTGCCCTTGAGGAGGCGAAGAAGACTTTCGCAAGGACCAAAAGTAGAAAAAAGGCGTAATTTCACACTACAACTTTTATGTCTTTAATCAGCTTTTTATTTTTGTTATGTTTAATTTAATTTACTCTGTGATTTTCATTTGTCCTTTTACAATTTTAATTTATTTTGTGATTTTTATTTGTCCTTTTACAATTTTATCTTTTGAACTTTACTTCCAATATGTTTACTTTCTTGTTTCTGTTGCCTATGTCTGTTTACAATTTTATTTTTACACTTTTTTAACATTTGTTTTTTTATTGTTGTGTTGTGAATGCCGCCTTGACATTGAAATAGTTTTAAATTTTAACTAATGACGCAGGAGAACCGCAGAGAAAGAACAGTGTCGCATCAGCGACAGAGTTGGAGCGCAAACCTCGAAGGCTAAAGTCTTACGACAATTCCCAGGGAGGGTAAAGGGCTCCAAAAGAAGGGTTACGGGTTTCAGTGGGTCGGGCTGGCAGTAGGTCGTCAGTTTATTAAATTTATTATGTCATTTATTTTTTTATATATTTCTTTATGTTTTAATTATACCAACCCCACATAACCTTGGAGTGCGGAATCCAAGGTATCTGTAGATAGATTTCCAAAAATTCCCTAAGCAAAAAAAAATTCATTACGAGAATTAAATTTTGAGAAACATTCAATTATTCAATAAATTATTTACTTTTGCATTCAAATAATTAAATTCTTGTAAAAGTTTTTAATAAAAATTGATTTTCATTTCATAAAAATGACTTTCAGTTAAAACTTTAGATTATAATTGAATATTAAAAGCAATATAGCGTAAATCTTTGAAATAGTTGAATTTTAAAATTATTTTTTTTTAAAAAGTTTTGAAAATAATAATTGAATTGAAGTAATGGAAATAATTTTTAAAAAGTATAATATTCTTATAATATAAAATAATGATTTTATTACTTAGTCATCTTTAATTATTATAAAATATGAAGAAATCGATCACTCTGAGTCGTGAAGTAATTTTAATCTGAAACTGTTAAGGAGTTCGAAAAAAATCATAAAAATTTGGTTTACTTACAAAAGTCTTATTAGAGACACGTTAAAAAGGCTTTGGATATGAAATTATTTATTATAATTTTTTTATTAAAAAAAATAAAAAAAAGCCAACAGCACGCGGTATTCCCAAGCGGTCACCCATCCAAGTACTAACCGCGCCCAAAGATGCTTAACTTCAGTGATCGGACGAGAACTGGTTTTTTCATCGTGGTGTGGCCGTTGCCTGTATACTGAAATGTTGATTTTCTTAATGACATAATTATTTCCATTCGTAATCGAAAATATATTCGTCTAGTGTAGAAAAATAATTAAAAGTGGAAGTTATATTATTTCCTAATTTAACTACAGTTGTAATTTGTTCTAATTTTATTGTATTTTCCATTTTAATCGGAAAATTGTCCATTCAGTTTAGTAAAATATTTAAAACTGTTAGGATTATTATAATGGAATAGTTAATTTGATAAACAATTTTGAAAAAATAATTGTATTCAAAATTTTTTTAAAATAACGGAAAAAAATGATTATGAATTTTGATTGTCAATTATAAAGTTTAGTCGGAAATTTTTAAATTTTTAGAAAATAAAATATTTTTAAAAATAAGGGAAAAATTTTTTTATTTTTTTTCGAAAACAAAGACATCAATAACTTCAATTTAAAATAAATTGAAGCATTTGTGTATATAGCTACCTGACTGAGGAAAGTATAATTTATATTTTTTTAAAATTTTGATTAGATATTTAGCTACCAGACTGAGGAAAGTATAATTTATATATTTTTTTAAATTTTGATTAGATATAGACCACTGTACGCAGAATTTCTGAAAGTCCACGTGCTCCAAACATGAGAATTATCTCACACTTACTTATTTGATAATTCTTATTCTTATATCATATATCTGATATAATAGAATGTTTTTGTTGAATTTAAAGAGACATTGTCTTCCAAATTTAAAGATTCTTTAACAATGAAGCACGCGTCAAACTATATCAACTGATAAGATTTTCTTTCGACAACGCCCACACAGCACGTTAAATTTCCTGAATATGTCCTGAATATTTCGTGGAAATATTGAAATATTTCAATGAAAGGTTCATAACATGTTGATGAAACAGTGAAATGTCCGCCTAAAAGAAATATTGCAGTATTTGGTTGTATGAATA